GTGTGTGAATGAGTGAGTGTGTGAATGAGTGTGTGAGTGAGTGAATGAGTGAATGAATGAGTGTGTGTGAATGAGTGAATGAATACATATAGTTTTACCTCATTTCTGGTTTTTTAACTGTAGTAAAGTGCACGTAACCAGAAAATTTACCGTGGTCAAATTTAGTACATTCGCATTGCCAGGCAACCATGGCCTCACCGCTCTCTAGTTCTGGAAGATTTCTATCACGCCAAAAGGAAGCCCAGTGTCCATGAGCAGCCACCCTCTAGCTGCCACCAGCCCCTGGCACCCACGAATCCATGTCCCGTCTCTGTGGATCTGCCTGTTCTGGACACCTTGTATAAATGGAGTCTCACACTGTGTCCTTCTGTGTCTGGCGCCTCTCACTGAGCACGATGTCCTCAAGGTCCCTCCACGCTGTGGCCTGTGTCTGAGCCTTGTCCCTTTCATGACTGAGTGACGTTCCAGCGTGTGGGTGGACCATGTTGTGGGTGTCCATTCATCGCCGATGGACTGTGTTCCCGTTTTGGCTGCTGTGAATAATGCTGCTATTAACATTTGTGTGCAGATTTTTATATGGATGTGTTTTCATGTGGATGTATAAATGTGCATATATGTTACATATATAACATATATCATGTGTACAATTGGATGAGTTTGGACACATGTGAACACCAGTGATAGCCTCACCACAATCATGGTGACAGACGTATCTGTGACCTCCCCAAATTTCCAAGTGTCCCTTCGGTGGTTTCTATGTGGTCAGAACACACGACATCTCTCCTAACAAATTCCAAGTGCACAGCCCTGCTGTTGCCATGCAGCGGGCCACGGTGAGGCCCCGAGGCCATGGCGCACTGAGGAAGCAGGAGCCCCGCTGACCCACACCCCTGCTGGGACCTCAGCCTCAGTCCCCGTCCTGGTCTGGCCCTGCCTTGGGGAGGGGGTCCCGGCTGGAGCTCAGAGTGGGGGGACCCAGCTCATCCCCAGGCTGGGGTCCAGGCAAGGGGAGGGGGGTGTGGTGAGATGGGCTGGGACACCAAGAGCCTCTGAGCCTCAGCCTGCTGGATGCACTTCCTGCAGGACACAGTGCCTTCTGTATACCCTCTTTGCAGGAGGCAGCATCTGCTGCATACACTGTCTGCAGGGTGCACTCTGCGAGGCACCGTATCTACCATATATGCACTCCCTGCAGGGCAGTCTGCTACTGCATGCATTTCTACAAGATGCAACACCTGCTGTATACACCTCCTGCAAGGCATCGTGCCTGCTGAGCATATTCCTACAGAGAGCATAATGCCTGCTCCTTGCAATGCACAGAGCTTTCTGTATACCTTCCCTGGGGGGCACAGTGCCTGCTGTTTGCACACCCTGCAGAGCACTGTGTACTGTGCCTCCGGGAATGGGACACATCAGGGGGGACATGATTGTCCACTGACCTCGCTGTGGCGTCTGACAGACTCCACCCCTCCCTCCTCACTTCTGCGTCGTCCTCCCTCAGGGCCCCCAGGCTCACCTGGCTCTCCTCTTGCCCCCCCAACCACCCGATCTCTTCCACAACTCTAAACATCCCGTGTGCGCATGACACCCACACACCGTCTCCAGCCAGACCCGGCCCAGCCCACACACTTAGGGGATGGGGCACCTCCCTGCACCCAGAGACACCTCTGCCTGTCGCACCCCCATCCATCAGCACCTCCTGCCGACTCTGCTCCCAAACAGGGCTGGGACCCACCACTGTTCCCCATCCCGCTGCACCCTAGTATAAGCTGCTGCCCCTCAGGACGCCCTACTGCCCACTCCTGTCCCCACACAGGGTGGCTTTTCCAGCACCAAAGCACCCCTCCCACTAGGGTTCGAACCCCTCTCATAGCACCCGTCCCTCCAACCTCATCTCCCCCAGCCCCTAAGGCAACTTGTTCCTGCCTCTTAGTCCCCTATCCCAGCCTCAGGGCCTTTGCACATGCTGTTCCAGCCCTGCACTCTGACCTCCTGGTGGAGTCACCTCCTCAGTGAGTGCCTTCCAGTCCCCCTAGCCCGCCTCCGGTGGGTCTAGGCTGCTTACCCTGAGTGTTGGCATCGGAAGGGGGGATTAAACCCTCCGGGGCTGCCTGCCCTGCTGGCCGGGGATGGGCCAGGTGGCAGCGCCCCAAGATGGCACTGGGTGGCCAGCTCTGGTGTGCCTCTGGCTGGAGGGCAGACAGGGCTGGGCCAGCAACCCCGCTCACCGCTCACCCGCTCACCCAGCCCCAACCCCAGGGAACGCCCTCCCAGTGGGGAGCCCGGAAGGGAGAGCTTCCTGGAAGAGGGGGCACTCCCACCAAGGCTGCAAGGCTGCGGGGACAGAAAGGCCGAATCCCCCCACCCCCTTAGTGTCTTCAGGTTCTCAGCTCCCGCCAGGGGGGGCCGCGGGGGCGACACCGGAGGATGGTGGAACCCGAGCCTGGGGCGTCCCGCGTGGGCGGAAGAGGGTGGGGTGGCGGGGAGCCCTGGGGCGACCTGGGCGTCGCCGGTCTGCGCAAAGAGCCGCGTTCCAGCCAGAAGATGCGCGGTGGACACCCTTGCGGGGCCCATTGGTAGAATGGGGAAACTGAGGCTGGAGAGAGTGGGGCCGCGGCAGTGAGGCAGAGAGACCTTTCCCACCCGGGTCTGGCCCTGAAGCCGCAGCTGGCAGCCCCGGGGCCGGGCAGGGAGGGCGGGAGGCGGGCTGGGGCGCGTCCTCTGGTGACAGCAGCGCCCGGGAATGCGCCAGCTGGGAGGGCCCCTCCGCCCCCCGCGCCAGGCCCGGGCTGAGCTGCTCCCCAGTGCACTGGGGCCCTGCGTTGGGGGTGGCCGGGGCCTGGGCGGGGACCCCGGGAGGGGAGCCCAGGCTTGCGGGGCCCCACCAATGAGTCGGGCGCCTCTGCGGGAGGGGGCTGTGCCCGCGCGCGGGACGCAGTCGCGGCGTCCGCGGGGAGAGGGCAGCGCCCCGGACTCCCAGCAGCGGGACAGGGCGACCTCGGTTGCGCACATTCCCGGGCCCTGAGCGCGGCGCCCGGAATAGCAGCCCCGGGGTGGGGGTGGGGGCGGTCAGTCCCCGCGCCGTCCCCGCTGCTCCGGCTTCCCAAGGTCGCTGGTTCCCAGACGCCCGGACACCAGGCCGCAGCCCTGGGGGACCCGGGCTCGCGTGGGGCAGTCCCCTGCCGCAGATCCGCGCCGACCGCGCGGGGGCGCCCCCGCCCGCCGCCCCTGCTGACCCGGCCTGGGCGCGCCCTCGGAGGCCCCGTGGGAGGGGCCGCCCAGCTCCCCACGCCCCGCACCTCGGGCTGCCGCTTCCGCTCGCCCTGGCGCGGCTCAGGGAGCCTGGACGTGCTGCCCGGGCTCTACGCAGCTGCAGCCGGTAAGTCCCTCTTCCTATCCTCCCACTGTCCCTGCTGGCGTCCTGGCCGCGCCGTCCGCTGCTCTCCCTCCCAGGGCCTGGTCGAGCTGGGATGGGGGTGAGCTCGGTCCCACGTCCTCTGGGGGATACCGAGGCCCAGAGGGGTGGTCCGCCCTGAGACCACACCGCCAGTCAGGGGTTCAGCCAAAACGGGGAAGTGGGGCCTTGTTCCCAGTGAGGGCGCTTAGCAGAGTGGGAAGGGTGGTCCTGGGAGACCCCATGTTCCCTCACCTGCGCCCACCCCACAGGCAGGGCTCAGAGTTGGGGCGAGTCCTCTTCGCCGGCCTCAACTCTGCCCTGCAGACTCCTTCCTGCTTCCTGGGCCAGAGAGAGAGATGCAGCCACGGCAAAGGGGGGGCAGGGAGGGAGGGACCAGGCCGGGTCCTCAGAGCACCTGGAGACAGCTCAGCCTCCAGGCACCTGGTAGGGCCTGAGAACCAGGGAAACTGAGGCTCTGGAGGGGCTGCGGGTCCAGGTGGCCTGGCCTTCTCCTCGCCAGGCGCCCAGGCCCCCTCCGGCGGGACAGCTTTGAGCTCAGCATGACCTTCAGGCGCTCCTGGCCACTGGGCGCCCTGGCCCAGCCGCAAGGGGACTCCCAAGGCGGCTGCTTCCCCTTCTCCCCCTTTCTCCCCCAAGCATGGTCACAAGGAGGGTGTCATGGCAGGTGACTTCATTCTCCCCCTGACAAATGGGGAAACTGAGGCTCAGGGAGGCAAGGTCTCCCCTCCCCCACAGCGGCCCCAGCCTCAGCCGAGGCCCCTCTCCCTCCGCAGGCGGCCCTGGCGCTCCCCTCGCCCCACACCCTCTGCAGATGAGGCCATGCGGCGCCGACTGGACCCGGGCCAGGTCACCCCTCCCTGCCCCACCCGCATCCGGGGCTCCCAATCCACAGGTCTGGGTGCTGAGGGGGAGCCCTGGAGGCCTCGGGGTGCAGCCCGGGGCCTCTGCCGGGACGTGGCTCCTGACCCAGCCACACCCTCTGCAGGGTCTCGTAGAACCATGGACTGAGTCCAGCCGGTCCCCACTGCACAGATGGGGAAACTGAGGCCTGGGAACACAGAGTGGCTGGCTTCTGGCCACACAGGAAGGTAGAAGCAATGGTGCGGGGAGTGGTGCGGGGACCCCGACCCTAGAAGCCACCTGTGTACCATCCTTAGTGAGTCCTTCAGTCTTCAGTGTTTAAGCGCATACTGCATGCAAGAGAAGAAAATGCATAACCACTAACAACTGCAGCTGCATTCTGAGTCCTCCTTGGCAGGCTCTGGGCCTCCTGTTTTCTTACCTGATCCAAAGGAGCCCTTGACTTTCCTGCAAGGGGGGCTCTATTATCACCCCTTCAGAGATGAGGAAGTGTGGCTCAGAGAGGTTTAGTTACTGTCCAAGATCACACAGCAAGTCAGGGCAGAGCTGGGGTTCGATCCCTGTCCTGCTGGCAGTGGCCCCACTGCATAGCCCCCCCCACACACTCTGTGCCCCCAGACCCCGGCCCTTCCAGAACCTTCTGCTCCTGCTGTGGACCCTCCTGCACTGTGGTTTGGGGGGCAGTGCTCAGGTAAGGGCGGGGCAGGAGCTCAGGGGGGCAGAGGGGAATGGGGACTAGGCCAGCAGCGTGGGACCACCCAGACTGACCGTGCCTCTCTCTCCCCAAGTAGGGTCCGGGCGAGTGGACTCCGTGGGGGTCGTGGAGCCGCTGCTCCAGCTCTTGCGGGCGGGGCGTCTCCGTGCGCAGCCGGCGCTGCATCCGGTGCGCAGGAGGAGCTGGGCTGGGGGCTGGGGGCTCTGCTGGGCGGGTCGGGAGGGGGTCCCTGCCCCTCCTTTCCTGCCGCCCGCCCGGCCCCCGGCCGCACCCTCTGCCTGCCCACACACGCTCTGCCCTTTAATCCCACTGATCCCGCTGGAATGCGGGTGGGGTTGCGGGGGTGGAGGGTGGACAGGTCAGCTCTGGGAGGGGGTCCCTGGGGGTTCTGACCACACTCTGGCCGCCCTGCTTTCTGCAGCTTTCCCGGGGAAGAGCCATGCTGGGGCGACAGCCATGAGTACCGCCTGTGCCAGCTGCCGGTAAACCCTGACCCCCTCCCAGACCCCCAAGACTGCCTCTGGGCTCCTCAGGGCTGTCCCCACCTCTGACCCACCTCTCTCTGCCTCCAGGACTGCCCCCCAGGGGCCGTGCCCTTCCGAGACCTACAGTGTGCCCTCTACAATGGCCGTCCTGTCCTGGGTGCCCAGAAGACCTACCGATGGGTGCCCTTCTACGGGGGTAAGTAGCCCGGCCACCTGTGGTCTGGGTTCGTCCAGAGTGAACAACTCATTACTTGAACTTATTACTGGAAGGGAGAGGTGACTGCTAAGGAAAAACAGAGACTTGGAGTGTTGCACAGAGAAGGGGTATTCACACTGGGGCTTTGAAGATTATATAGGAGTTGGTGAAGTGAAGGAGAAACAGCCTGTGTTTGGCACTAGGCAGGGGTATAGGGAAGCAGGCTCCATTCTGCAGGGGGTTGAACACTAGGATGAGGATTTTGCTTAGAGCTGTATCCAGAGGCCAACAGTCCTCAAACTTATCCTAGTAGCAGGAAATATTGCCACACAGAGCCAAAAATAGTAAGTTATATAACTATGTGCCCAGGGCAGCACGCCTCCAGATTTAAGGGAGACAGGCAGCTTGAGACGCCACCGTGGAGGCAGGCACAGAGAAGGAAAGCCTAAAATGGAGAAAGTCCCACCCATCAAGCTCATGGGCTCCCTCCCTCCCTCTCTTCCTCCCTTCTTTCCTTCCTTTCTTCTTTCTGCCCTGAGAATTGGCAGAAATCTGCCACGATCCCACCCCCATGGAGACCTACTAGGGCCAGCTCAGGATCCATTCCAGGGAGATGGGAGCCCAAGGGACCGTGAGGAGAAGTAGAGACCAAGGCTATCTACCTGCAGGTGTGATCAGACAGTGCATTTTGCTCCCACTGCCAGGCAGAAGGGGAAACTGAGGCCCCGGGAGGGCCAGTGCCACACCTACGTTACACAGGACTTGGTCAGGATGGGACTAACACTTTTTATTGGGCGCTCAAGTGCTGAGTGAGTGCTGCTTGCTGCTGTATCCCAGAGTTTAGAACTGTGTCTGGAAAATAGTAGGTGCTCAATGAACGTGTGTGGAATGAATGAATGAAGAATCGGTAATGACGTTAATGTAAATAACATGCAAGGGCTCCTAATATAAGACAATGAAGGAATGAATGCAGCCCCAGAATACTTGCCCAGGAGAGTCCCAAGTTGCTGGAGGCAGAACATCTATGTTCCAGTCCTAGCTCTGCCTCAGCCTCAATGCGTGGCTTTGGCTGAATCTCTGGGCCTCATCTGCCCAAGGGGATGGCTGCCTCAGGGAGATTGTTATGGGGTCTGGAACTAGGATAGAGGTCCCCAGGTCACCAACTCCTCCCGCCCTCAGCGCCCAACCAGTGCGACCTCAACTGCCTGGCCGAGGGACATGCCTTCTACCACAGCTTCGGCCGCGTCCTGGACGGCACCACCTGCAGCCCAGGTGCCCAGGAGCTCTGCGTGGCCGGCCGCTGCCTTGTAAGGACTCGCCAGGCCCCACACTGGCCACGCCCACCTCCCATCCAGGCCCCGCCCCAGCCTCCCTCCAGGCTGTGCCCCTCCAAGGGCTCCACCCCCAGCTTTTCCCTCTAGGCCCCACCCCTCTGTAGGCTCCACCCATCCTCCCTCCAGGGCCCGCCCCCTTATCCCAGGCTCCGCCCTTTCCCCAGGGCCCGCCCCTCGCGCCGTCTGTGACACGTGCGCACCGGTCCTTCACCCCTTTAGAGCGCTGGCTGTGATGGCTTGCTGGGCTCGGACGCCCGCGAGGACCGCTGCGGCCGCTGTGGTGGGGCCAACGACTCCTGCCTGCTCGTGCAGCGCGTGTTCCGTGACGCTGGTGACCACCTGCGCTGTCCTCCCCGAATGTCCAGAGAGGGCCCTTTAATGAGCCACAGCCTGGGAGCGAAATCCCGTGCTGATTGGGCGGTCTGCAGCCCAGTCCCCCTCGCTCCTCATCCTGATTGGCCACTGTCAGATCGTCCTACTCGCCCCCCCACAGATGGGGATTTTAACCCTTTCCCTGCCACACTTGACCGATGATAATTGTATGCATTTAGGGAGGGGCGTTTTGCTGGTTCCCGGGGCCCTGGCTAGCTGTCTCAACCGCAGCGTCTCATTTAACCCTCAAATCATCGCTCAAACACACCCCTGCTGGCATCCCAATACCCGCCTACCCTCCTGCCCAGGTGCTTTCGCTGGGTACTGGAACGTGACCCTGATCCCTGCTGGCGCCAGACACATCCGCGTGGCCCACCGGAGCCGCAACTACCTGGGTACCAAAGGGTCCGAAGGGGGAGGCGCCCTCTGCCGCCTGGGTGCAGTTGTCCCGTGTGCGCCTGGGGAAACTGAGGCCCGAGGAGGGGACCCCAGGGGAGCCCGGCTGACCCTTCCATTGCAGCGCTGATGGCGAGCGACGGGCGCTACGTCTTCAACGGGGACTGGGTGCTCAACCGGCCTGGGACCTACGAGGCAGTGGGCACCCATATGGTCTACACCCGCGATGCAAGCCCGGAGGAGACATTGCTTGCGGCTGGGCCCACCTCCCACGACCTGCTCCTGCAGGTGTCTGCTGGGCCTTTGAGAGGGTCAGAGGGGGTGGCGGTGGTCAGGTGTTAGAGGGGGGGCAATTGGGGTCTGGCAGGTGGGGGAGGCAGAGGTCAGAGGGTCACAGAGGGAGGCGGGTGTCAGGAGCATCTCCCTGAGTGCTGACCCCCCAACTGCAGGTCCTCCTGCAGGAGCCCAACCCCGGCATTGAATTTGAGTTCTGGCTCCCCCGGGAGCACTACGGCCCCTTCCAGGCCCAGGTGCAGGCCCTGGGCTGGTCCCTGCGGCAGCCACAGCCCCGGGAGGTGGTGCCCCCCCAAGCCCCCTCGGCCATCCCTGCGCGGACCCCGACCCTGGCCCCAGGTGAGGTGGGAACGGCCGGGGTGGGGGCCAGCTGGGGCTGAGGCCTTGTGCCCCTCACAGCACCGCCCCCCACAGACCCCTGCCCACCGTGCCCCGACACCCGCGGCCGTGCCCACCGGCTCCTGCACTATTGCGGAAGTGACTTCGGTGAGACCCCCTGACCTACCCTCTCCCAGCCGTCAACTAAGCTGGCCTGGCCTGCTGACCTCTGGCCCTGATGTGACTCCACCCTGACCCCTTCTTCTGGCTCTAATCCCCCATTGATCCTGATCCCAGTGCCCCTGAGGCCCCACCTGACCCTCAGTTTCCTCTTCCTGCATTTGGTGGGGGGTGCTGTAGAGAGGGGTGCAGGGTCATCCAGCCGCCCGGCGCCTGCCCTGCCCACAGTGTTCCAGGCCCGCGTGCTGGGCCGCCACCGCCAGGACCAGGAGACCCGCTACGAGGTGCGTGTACAGCTCGTCTACAAGAACCGCTCTCCACTGCGGGCCCGAGAGTACGTGTGGGCACCAGGCCACTGCCCCTGCCCACTGCTGAGCCCCCACCGAGAGTACCTGCTGGCTGTCCGGCGCCTCGTCAGCCCCGATGGCACACAGGACCGGCTGCTACTGCCCCATGCTGGCTACGCTCGGCCCTGGAGCCCTGCCGAGGACAGCCGGGCACGCCTGGCTGCCCGGCGCTGTCCTCTTTGAGCTCCTGAAGGAGCCCCCACGATATGCAGCAAGAAAGACACACATGACCACGCTCAACTGAAGTCAGTGTATTTCTCCTCTCACCCTGGCTTCCAGGAAGCTCAGAAATATCTCTCTTCTACAGCTACATTACTCCCCATCACACACTTGGACATGTCTGCATACAGCCATATCCACGGTCATGAGCGGGCAGGCACTGATGAGGATGCACTGAAGAGACTAACTTTTATTTCCCCTCTCGCTTTGGCTGCTAGGAAGCTCATAGCTAGTTTATACTCTACTTTCATTCTCCTTGCCTCACACTCACTTGCTTAGAGACACTGTCATGAACAAGCATGACACCCCCTTGGCCTGGGTACCAGGAAGCTCATCATAGTTTAACTCCTGACACTCTGTGCTCTCTCCCCTCTCTGCCACCCCCCACTACACCCTCCTGTATTCAGAGACACTGTCACAAACAGGCATATCCCTTAGAAGACATGCCTAACCAGGCACTGTCATGTATCAATTTCCCCTTTTGCCTGGCTACCAGGAACCTCAGAGAAAATCTTGACAGCCCCAGCATTTCTGGCTGGGTTTCTTGCAGTCAACACTGTTGTTCTTCACCCCCTTTTATTGCTATTTAATTAAATTTTATGAGCACGTTTTTTTAGAAAAAAAAAAAAACATTTGCTTTCTGCAGTAAGTCTAAAAAAAAAAAAAACAAGGGCACCTCAGTCACATGCGCTTGGCCACAGACTTGGGACATGCTGGTAGCCTCACATGCACAATTGCATTCTTGTACCCTGTACACACATGGTCAGACATGTACCTCCATGCCCCCCTCCCGCCAGCACATCTACCCTGTGTGGGGATGAGGGCAGAGATATATGAGGATGGGGGCAGGTGGGGAACACAAGGGGCTTTTGCGAGTCCTGAGCCCCTTCCCCAGCTGAGGCAGGTAAGAGCCGCTGCTCTCCACCGCCCCCAGCCGCATGCAGGAGGGCAGACCTGAGCCCTGAGTGCATTGGGGGACGTCTGTGGGCTGTCACATAGTCGCTCAGCAAACCTACCCTCGTGGGGTGCTCCCACCGGCCCACCCTTCTGCCTCCTTACCCCCTGGCTGGCTCATGCTGTCATTTGGGACAGTCTGTCTTGTGTGATACCAGACACCTGGGGTCAGTGGGCTGTCTGCGGAAGGGTCCCTGGGGGCCACCGACGTTAACCACAGCTGCCCCCTCCGGCAGCAGCCAGAGCAGGGCAAGGGTAGGGGGTCGCCGACCGGGCAGCAGGCGCAGAGGGAAATCCTTCTTGAGGGAGTCCCCACGGAGTGTGTGGTGTCACTAGACTCAGCCTCTGACCTGGCAGGTGACCTCAGGCCAGGCCCTGCTCCTCTCTGGGCCTCAGTTTCCCCATCTGTGAGTACCTCTCCACCCCTCCTGGCTCTGACCGTGGGAACTGTGCTCTCCCAGAGTCCCTCCCTGGCCCCTTGGCGCAAACCTGCTGCGGCGTTTATGGAGCGCCTACTGTGTGCCAGGGACCCGGCAGCACCTGGCCCCGGGGAGCAGGCAGTCACTCCGATTTCGGGGTGCGTTCTGTGGTTGTCGTCTGCAGCAGTGGGTGCAGGCGGAGGGGCCCAGGAGCGACCTGCACCCGCACCCGCCGCTGCGCCGGCAGGGCTGGTGCAACCCCCAATCCCCCCTTTGGGGGACCCGCAGGGCCCGCGCGCCCCCTGCCGGCGGGACGGGGGATGAAGGGCTTGGCCACACCCCAGCTCCTCCGGCGGGAGTGGGGCCCCCAGGCGCCCTCCGCGCGTTTCCCTGCGGGCACTCAGCCCCGCGTGCACGCTCGCCTTCCTCTCTGGCCTCCCCGCAGCAGCGTCGCAGCCACGCCCTCTTCCTCCGGTCTGGACTCCCCATGCGCGTCCCCAAGGCTGTCGCCACTGCCTGGCTCGTTTCGGGGACGTGTCAGGGGATGCAGGTGTCCGGCCCTCTGGGCCACCGAGCCCCGTGGGGCGGCCCTGCAATCAGACTCCCACAGAGTGTGCCCAGCCCCACCCGCCCACTGTAGGGGCTGCCCGGCGCTTGCCGGGTCCCCTCTAGGCAGGACCCCAGGCTGTGGTCTGACGCCCGGGGTCGGACAAGGCAGAGGAGCTGTGACGGGAGCGAGAAAGGCGGGACAGCTGGCCCTGCCCACACATGAGGGCCAGGGACTGTGCCACGTGTGGGGTGAGTGGGGCACCCTCCTGGCCCCCAGCACCCTGCAATCCAGCCGGCCAGTCAGCAGCAGATCCTGAGGACCACAGGGAGGGGGCTAATTAATGATTACCCTCCATCCCTCCCTCCTGATAAATCCTGCATCCTGAGAAAAGCCAAAGTCCTCCCCACGCCCTGGGAGAACCTGCCCAGTCTAGCGCCCAAGACTCCCCCTCACCTCGCTCCAGCCACTCTGGCCTCCTCCTGTGCCTCCCACGTGCCGGGCAGAGTCCTGCCCCAGGGCCTTTGCACCGGCTGTGCCCTGCCTGGAAGATTGGTAGATAATTCCCACCCCCACCTCCACTCCTGGCTCTTTTATTGTTTTTTGTTGTTGTTGTTTTGTTTTTTGAGACAAAGTCTCACTCTGTTGCCTGAGCTAGAGTGCGGGGCATCAGCCTAGCTCACAGCAACCTCAAACTCCTGGGCTCAAGCAATCCTCCTGCCTCAGCCTCCCGAGTAGCTGAGACTACAGGCATGCGCCACCATGCCCGGCTAATTTTTCTATATATTTTTAGCTGGCCAATTAATTTCTTTCTATTTTTAGTAGACACAGGGTCTCGCTCTTGCTTAGGCTTGTCTAGAACTCCTGACCTCGAGCAATCCTCCCACCTCGGCTTCCCAGAGTGCTAGGATTACAGGGATGAGCCACCACTCCTGGCCCCGACTCTTTTAAAGAGTTACATCAGGCTGGCATGGTGGCTGTCACCTGTAGTCCTAGCACTCTGGGAGGCCGAGGCGGGTGGATTGCTCGAGGTCAGGAGTTTGAAACCAGCCTGAGCAAGAGCAAGACCCTGTCTCTAATATAAATAGAAAGAAATTAATTGGCCAACTAATATATATAGAAAAAAATTAGCCGGGCATGGTGGCACATGCCTGTAGTCCCAGCTACTAGGGAGGCTGAGGCAGGAGGATCACTTGAGCCCAGGAGTTTGAGGTTGCTGTGAGCTAGGCTGACGCCACGGCACTCACTCTAGCCTGGGCAACAGAGTGAGACTCTGTCTTAAAAAAAAAAAAAAAAAAGAGTTACATCAAATTGTCTCATTTGCTGACTATAAACCCTCCCATGGCTCCCTAGAAATAAAATCCAAGCTCTTTCCTATGCCCCTGTCCCCTCCCTACCCTCTCGTCCTCCCTCTCCTCTCCTCCTCACTCTGCTCTGGCCACACAGGCCTCCTTGCTGTGCCTCCAACATGCCAAGCGAGTCCTGCCCCAGGGCCTTTGCATGGGCTGTGCCCTTCCTGGGAACACCTTCTGCCAGACACCCACATGGCTCCCTCCCTCACCTCCTGCAGGTCACGCATCCCTTCCAATGGAGGCCTTCTGGGACCTTCCTTCAACTTGCAGGCCAGGCCCCCAACCCCCGGCTCCCTCCTGCTGCCGCATTCCCCCACGTGGTTCATGGCCCTCCAACCACCGTGTGGTACATATTTATCCTGTCATCACTGTACCAAATACTCGGGAGCAGGGTTTTCTCTCTCTGGGCCATTGGTGTCCCCCTGGCTTCTGGAGCAGGGCCTGGCATACAGCAGGTGCTCAATAATCGCTGAGGGATTGAATGAATGAATTGCCCCCCCCCCCCCCCGCAGCCACTCCCTCATTTGCATGTGACCTGGGGCGGTAGTGATGGTGGCCCTCAGAGCTGCCCTTTGTTCTGGAAAACTTCTTGGCAGGCGGGGCTGCTGTGCCCAGGAGAGCCGGTTCTCGGTTCTTGCTGCTGGGTTTGGGCAGAAATCAGAAGTGTCTCCAGACAAAGGCCAACAACACCCCTGGGACAAAATCCCTCCTGGTTGAGAACTACTGAGTTTCAGCCCCGTGAGCCAATGTCACATCCGGGTTTGTGGTTTATCCTAAGCCGGTCCCTGTGTTTGCACCAGAAACTGTGACCAGTGAGAACCTTGGAGAAGCAGAGCTCGGGTGGGGGTGGGGGGTGGCAATGCAGGCTGGCGCCCTGAGACTGAGACACCTCCCAGTGGCTCCCTGCTGGGGGGACTTGTCTTAGGAGCTGCCTCCTGGGGAGACGCAGTGGTTACAGCCCCCTCCCCAGGGGTCGGGTGAAGCCAGAGACAGACAAGTCTAGGGGTACCGGGGTGAGCCCTCACTCTGGCGTGTGACCACGTCTCTGTGCAGCGTCACCCCCTGCCCTCAGCCTCCAACCAAGTTCCTCAGGCTCTGCCCCCAGGGAACCGCACTCCCAACTTGAGCATGGGGTGTTCTGTGTTTTTATACATTGTTAGGTTTGATTTCCTGTTTTTTGCTTATATCTGTTTGCATCTGTATCCATGAAACAGGCTCCCTTTTTTGCTCTGTCTTGGCCTGGTTTTGTTATCAGAGTTGCACTGGCCTTGAAAGAAAAGAAAGAAAGGAAAGGAAGAAAAAAGAAAAGAAATGAAAAAAAAGTAAAAAATAGGCCAGGCGTGGTAGCTCATGCCTGTAATCCCAGGACTTTGGGAGGCCAAAGCAGGAGGATCACTTGAGGCCAGGAGTTCAAGACCAGCCTGGGCAACATAGCAAGACCCTGTCTCTACAAAAAATAAGAAAAATTAGCCAGGTATGGTGGCTCACGCCTGTAGTCTCAGCTACTGAGGAGGCTGAGGCAGGAGGATCACTGACCACTTGTTCAGGAGGGAAGCCATGTCGCTACGGACAAGCATTTCCCGGCTTTGCATCCACCTGGGCCACCCGGCCAGACCTCGTGTGGGTGAATTTGCTGCTCTGGGCCTGTTTCCTCATCTGTAAAATGGGGCCAGTCCCAATCCCCGCCCGATCACGTGGGACAGCGCCCGCACAGTCCCTCCCCCGGCTCCCGAGCACACGCATCTCGACAGCTCAGTCCAGATGAATTTTATTGGGCCTCGTCCTAGCACACCAGGTGTTTCATGCGCCAGCAGCGCGGCAGGCACCGCAGCCTGTGCCTGTGGTGGGGCCAGCTGCAGGTGATCTCGGTGGTGGACTCCGAGAGGTACTCCAGGGAGGTCTCTGAGTTGGTGGGGATCAGCTCGCCGGGCACAGTGGCAATGTTGGTAGGTTTCTTGGAGAACTGCTTTGGAGGCTGTTTGGGAGTCTCAGGGGCGGCGTCCCCTGGCTCATCGGGGGCCTTGGCCGGGGGCTGTGTGGGGCTGTTGGTGCTGCTGGGAGGCGGGTTGGGGGATGGCTCCTGGCTGGGGGCCGTGGTGTTGGGATTCTGCTCGGTTCCTAAGGACTGGTGGGCCGACTGCGAGGGGCCGGGGGAAGTGGCGGAGGAGGACTGTTTGCGCTGTTGGGACCGGCTAGAGGTGCCTCGCACCCGACGCTTGCCCCGGGCCTTCTTGGTTGGCTGGGAGCCACTGCCAGAGCCAGAGCCCTGCTGGCCGTGGGACCCGGAGCTGGGGGTGGCCGAGGAGTGGGACTGGGAGTTGCCCAAGGCACCATTTACAGTGGTCTTGCTAGCACCCGAGGGGCCGGCGGGAGGCTCTGCCGGGGTTTCGGAGGAGGCCTCTCTGGACTGCTGGGGTCTTGATGTGCCCCCCTTCTCGCCGGCCGGCAGGTCCTGGGCAGTGCTGGGGGTCGTCTTCACTTGTCCTTCTGCAGTGGGGCCTGGCTTGCCTTGACTGCAGAGAGATGGCAGGCAGGGGTGAGGCAGGTGGGGGCCTGCCGCAGCCCTGGGACTCTGCTGGGCTCCTGGGGACAGAGACCAAGCCTGCCAGGGAGCTTGAGGTCGGCTCAAAGGGCCAGGTGCCCAGAGTCCAGCACACACAGGCACACACTCTCACACTCACCTGCAGGCGGACAGATGCACACGTGCACACTCACATGTACACGCACACATGCACACTCACATGCACACACACGCACATACTCACCCACAAGTGCACACTCACACGCACAGGTGTACACACTCACAGGTACACGCACACACTCTCACATACCCACGCACATAGACCACCCCAACACACACACTCGCACACACGCACACAGGAGAGCAGGTGCACACTTGCACACGTGCACATATACACACGTGACAGCCCCTACCTTCCCCCTGGTCGGCTTCAAGGGCAGCCGAGGGCCCGGCCACAGCCGCTGGGGCGATGTGAGCCCGGCTGCGGGCCAGGGCCTGCAGGACTGTTTCCCGACAGCGTGCGGGAGAAAGGCAGACAGTGAGAGAGGTGGCGGAGATGCCAGACAGACGCCAGACAGAGGGCAGTAGGGGAGGCAGGATGGAGGCACGTGGGACAGACAGACAGCCCGGCGCCCGGCGAGCACCCACCGCCCCTGGTTATTCCGGCTGCTGTGTCCAGGGCTCGACCGCTGAGGTTGCTGAGGACGCTGTCCACGGCTGTGTGATGTTTTAGAAACAGTGGCCGCACGACGCGGTGGTATAGCATGAGAGCTCCGTTCCACGGCCCCGGCATCATGCAGAACAACAGGAAGGCGCACTGGGGAACAGGGCCGGGTCACACTCGGCCCTCACCCTGGCACAACGTCCCTGGTGGGGACGAGGGCGATGCCGCTCCACCGGACACCCGCCCTGCGCAGGAACTGGGTCTCCACCCTCCGATGGCCCCCAGGGAAGGGGCTGAGTCTCCTCCGCATACCCCCGGGCTGGGTGACCTGCCCCTCCCAGCAATGACCGGTGTCCCGTGTCCCACGCCCACCTTTCCCACGTAGTAGAAAGGGAACCAGAACAGGAGTAGGTCGCTGAAGAACTCGACCAGCCCGAACAGGGCGTACACTACCCAGTAGGTCAGCCACACAGTGTCGTCTTCTTTGCTGGGGCTTTCGATGGCTTTGATTCTGGGGGGAGGCAGCAGGTTCGAGGGCTGCCCAGCACCCCACTGCCACCTCATCCCCACGTGGGCAGCCAGCCCCCCACTCACGAGGCATATGCGGGGTATGCAAATCCGATGACATTGCACAGCAGAGAAGCTCCGTAGCCAAACAGAAGATAGAGGCTTAGCAGAGTGCCGGCTCCTGCGGAGAGAGGTGGGGGTGGGCTGGGGCCTGGGCACCACCCCCCTATGCCACGACAGCAACAGGACCCTGAGCCCCACCCTGAGCCCCACCCTGAGCCACAGCTCAGCAATGCTGTGGGCACAGAGTAGCTGCCCAGTGAATGTTTGTTGAATGAATAAGTGATCATCTGTGATTCTATTAATTACTGTCTCATTCCAGGCCCGAGAGGAGGGGCTGGGAATAAGAGGCCAGTGTTTGAATACTGTGATGGGAATTCCCTACAAGGGAAGCCCTGCTGAGAAAGGCCACAGTGTTTTAACCTGTAGAGTTTCTCCACCTTGACACCACCATTCTTGTTTCTTTTTTTTTTTAGGTGGGTGTGTCCTGGGCACTGCAGGGTGCTAAGCAGTGGCCCTGGCCCACACCTACTCATTTAAGGAGCAGCCCCAGTCATGACAACCACAAATGTCCCCAGATACAGCCAAAATCTCTGGGGAGGCAGCATTACTCCCTTTGAGGACCCCTGTCTTATTGGGAAGTGACAAACTTCTCCCTCTGCACCCCAGGCCTAGGAGGGCCCTACTCTGCCACCCTGAGCACAGCTCTCTCTGCACAGAGCCTCGGTTTCCCCACTGGGAAATAGGGTTGGCGATGACCCCTGCTGCCTGCGGTTGCTAGATACGACTCAACAGAGGGAATGGGAGCGTCTCCTCCTTCCTACACATTTATTGAGCGCCTACTGGCCACAATCTCATACTCCCAGCAAGGAGGGTTCAGGGAGAAACGTGTGCATGGGGCATGGCCAGGAGCTGCTCCATGACCCTGCACCTGACTCTGAAAAGAATAACCATCACTGCTGCATTTATTAAGTGCCAGCTGTGTGCTGGCCCTGTGCTCCCCCTGCTGCAGCTCATGCCACAGGGAGAGGTGGGGAAAGGGCTGGGAAAGGCCACACAAGGAGCCTCAGGGCTCCAAAGAGCTGGGGCACCCTCACCCTCCTCCCCAGGCTGTTATCTGCAAAGAGAGAGACAGAGAGAGAGGCCACTTCTGGACCAAAGGGCAGAGGCCCAAGTCACCCCCACTCTTCCGCCACCTGCATTAGGCTTTACTCTCAAGCTCCGGAGGTCAGGAGGGGGAGGGGAGGGCCCCCACCCGGCCTTGGCCTCCTGGACACTGCTGTCTGTTCCCTGGGGGTGTGGGATCTGGCCACCGTGGCAGGTGGGGTCCAAGGGTCCCCACATCAGGGACAGGGGAGTGAGGGAACGTCCCCTCTTCCCTTTCCAGTGGGGGAGGAGGGGCTCTCCCAGACCATCCCTGCCCTAAATCTCTTTTCCTGCAGCCTCAGCAATGAGAGGATGAACTTGGATTTCAGGACTGTGGGATGGGGGGGCATGCGTGGGGGGGAGGCCCAGCCCCAGAGATCTAACCCCAACCCTAACTCTTGGATTTCAGGACTGGTGGGGAGCCAGCCCCAGAGGTCAGCCACATACGAGAATGGGGGTGGGGGGTGGCATGGGGGAGTGTTTTGGACAGGCACAGAGACAGCCTGCGATGAAGCCCCTGCCTGTCTGTGCCTTAGTTTCCTCCCTGGCAACACAGCCTACCCAGCTACCCCACCCCATCCCCAAGGATGTGGAGAACGAGGGCAGATGTCGGGGCCTGCTCCCAGGGGCAGGCACAGCTCCTGGGGGCCTCCAGGGTGTGGGCACAGATTTCAGATTGTCCTTGGGCTGCCTGGCATGGGAATACCCTAGCAGGTAGGAAAATGGGGGAGAACTGGACTCCCGGAATCTTCCCACTCTCAAAACTCATGGCCCTGCTGTCCACCAGACTGACTGCCCCTGGTCCCCCAAGGTCCAAAGTGTCCTTGTGGCTCATTCCAGGAGGGCTTCCTGGAAGAGAAGGCAGAGCCAGTGGGCACCACACGAAGAGTAAGGGAAGCATTTAAGGAGTGCCTACTGTATGCTCGCTGGATAGATTTTCAGAAAGGGGCAGCGGCTGCCCAATGAGGAGGAAAGGAACAGGAAGAACCCCAAAGAAGTTGCAATCAGGCGTGCTTGTACCCCGCTCCGGGGGCCAAACCACCCACCTCATACTCAACACAGATTTACGTGGGACCTGGCCAGAGCTGGGGGAAGGGTAGAGCGCAGGCCAAGGGGCCGTCCAGTCCGGGTAGGGAAACAAGGGAGCGTCTGGGCAGCCCCCCGGGAGTCCCTTCCCCTCCGGTCCTCGGGCCTCCCCTTGGAGAAGCGGGAAGGTCTCTGCTCCTGCTGCCAGGCGGAGTTGGCAGGAGGGGGCGGGGACACGCGCAGGGCACCCCATCCCCCGGGCGGCTGGGCAACTGGAAGAACCGGACTTTGGCCTGGAGGGCACCCGGGGCCTGGGGGCCGGAGGGAGGCCGAGGTTGGGGAGAGGGTGGCCAAAGGGAGAGGCTGCGGCGGACCCCAGAACCCCAGTCCACGCCCCCCGCCCCCCGATCTCGGTTTCCTGGATGGGGGCGGGGCGGCTTCCGCGTGCCGGGCGGCAAAGCGGGCGCGCCCGGGGCTCACCTGCGGCCAGGTAGCGCTTCTCGATCCCCGTCCTGGCTTCGAGCGCCTGAAGCGCGTCGGTGACCGGGTTCCTCTGTTCCAGAAGGCGCTCTAACCGCTCGCGCAGGCCGTCCATGGCCCCGGCCGGCCCGGGGCTGGAAGCCCGAACTCGCCCGTCGCCCCGCGCACCGGCTCCGCCGCACGCACGCCTCCTTCCTCCCGCGCGAGCCGCCCGGCTCGGCCCCGGGGCCGGTGTCCGCCACCGGGCCTGTCTCCGCCCCCGGGCTCGGCTCCGCCTCCCGCCCCCCGCCCGGGCCAATGGGAGGGCAGGGCGGACAAAGGAGGTGGGGCCTGCCCCGTCTCCCCCGCCGCATTGCCCTCTGGCGGGCCGCGGCCGCCGCTGCAGTTAAGCGGCCGGCAGGGGGCGGGGCCCGGCGGCCGAGGGTGCCGATTGGCCGAGCGGGAGCGGGACGTAGTTTATTGGAGGGGCGGCGTCAGGGTCGGGGATTATTGGCGGAGCTGTTGAATGGGGTGGAGCTGGGGGGGAGGAGAGTAGTGGGGGGAGGGCGGAGCTTGTGGGAGGGGCCGGAGAAAGACCAGAGTTGATTGGAGAAACGGGAAGGAATTCATTGGCGAGACCAGAGCAGGGGCGGAGCCTACCATGAAGAAAGTGGGGTGGAATCAGAGGGGCGGGGGAAAGGGCGGGGCGTATAGGAGGAGGCGGGACTTATTCTGAAGAACAATTCTGGTTGGACCACATAGAAGGCGGGGCTGATTTTCGGGGGAGGGGTGTGTGAAGAAGTGGGCGGGGCCAAAAGCTTTATGCGTGGTCTGTCATAGCAACAGTGAACCCACTCCTCTGGCTGAGAAGATTTCCGACCTCTTACAAATGGGGATACTGAGGCTCCAGAGAGCGTGAGTCTGCGAAGATCCGGACGGCCGTGTGTCCCTCCCCCCATTTCGGGCGGATCTTTGCCCCCTCCTGGGAGGGGTATCCGCAAGGCCCCCTGGGAGGTGAAGACTGCCGCGTTGCTATGGCGCCGGGGGCGGGGCGGGCGCTTGGGCCGACTCGGCGGTTTGGCCGGGGGAGGGGCTTCGGGAGGCCCCGCCCCCGCCGCTATGCGGCCCGCCCCGACTGCGCTGTGGCTGCGCCTGGCCGTGGCCGTGGCCTTGGCTCTGGTCCTCGGCGGCCCCCTAGCTGCGCGGTGGGCCTCGGCCCGGACCCCCATCTACGTCAGCAGCTGGGCCGTGAGGGTGTCCCAGGGCTACCAGGAGGCCGAGCGCCTGGCACGCAAATTTGGCTTCGTCAACCTGGGACAGGTGGGTGGGACCCGGATGGAGGGGGCGTGGGGGTGGGGAGGGCTGGGCGCCCGGAGACCTCAACAGATGCGAGGGCCCAAGGCCCCCCAAATATTACGACCCCCAGCCCACCCCTGTCTCGGCCAGTCTCAGCTTCTGGGACTCCTGGAGGGCACGTGAAGCCCCCACCTGGGCGCCAGGTGGGTGGAGGGTGCAAGTGAGGGGGTGGTCCCCATCCGTGGGGGGCTCCCTCAGGGAGCCACGTCCCAGCGGTGCGGCTGCCTCCCTTCCCAGATCTTCCCCGACGGGCAGTACTTCCACCTGCGACACCGGGGCGTGGTCCAGCAGTCCCTGACCCCGCACTGGGGTCACCGCCTGCGCCTCAAGAAAGACCCCAAGGTGAGCCTGGCCTTGTGGCGGCCTCCCCGGGGCCTCAGTCCCCTTCTGGGGCCCACTAGTCACCTTCAGTCATTCTTGCTATTGTCACACACGGCCGTGTGGCCTTCCTCAGGTCACCTGCTCTCTGCTTTCTCTGCATGTTAGGTCCACTGGGGCCCCCAGTCTGTCCAGTGGGGACCCAGGCTGGGAACCTGTGGGGACAGCAGGGCACCTACACAGGGGCACCTCCTGCTGCTCCCCCTGCTCCCTCTAGCATACCCTGACAGATGAAGGGCCCCAGGTACTCCAGTAGGGAGGGACAGATAACATCCCATCCCCACCACCCAGTTCGTAGGATGAAGGGAAGGGTATCAGCTCACTTTACGGCTCAGGAATTAGTTCCAAAGACTGGGATGCCTGGAGTCATCCAGTGAGTCTGTGGCTGTCGTGGGACCAGTTTCCAGATGCTCAGAGAGGTGCCTGGGCCAGGCCCCCCATCACAAAAAGGCTTTGGATGCCATGCTGGGGAGTTGAGACTGAGTCTGGCAAGCTCCAGGGAGCCAGGAAGGGGTGTGGGCCCAGCTGCAGGGCTGTGGGCCCACTGGGGACCTAGAGAAGTGACCAGTTCATAATGTGGTTTGCAAGAGTGAGGCTGGGGTTTGCAGAGGGGTCAGACAAGTGGAACAAAGAGGGTGAAGCCAGGGCCAGCTGCCAGGTTGGAACTGAGCAACGTGGCAGGAGAGGACCCAGGACACTGAGATGTGGGGGCGGGAGAGCTGGTGTGGGAGGTAAAAAAGAGGAAGAGCAGCCCAGGCAGGCAGAACAGCATGTGCAAAGGTCCTGGGGTGGAAATGGCTTCAAGGGCTCTTGGGGCACGGAAACAATCCCTATGGCTGAGCAGTAGGGAGGCCATGGGGCTGGACAGGCAGGACCTTAGGGCCAGTGGACAGGTGGTAGAGAGCCATGGGAGGGTTCAGCAGGCAGCGACTCTGCAGGTTGTAGAGAGGCGAGGGCAACTGGAGGACCAGGACGGAGGCGGGAGTGGCCGCCCAGTGGTGTCCTGGTCTGGGGAGGTGGAGATAGAGGGAAATGGCCAGTTTAGGAAGTTATGTGGAAGAGAAGTGGACAGAAGGACGGGAGCAGGCAGGAGGGATAGGGTAGGGTTGCGACCCAAGGACCTCCAGTCATACTGGACAGCAGCCATGTGTCTGTCGGCCTGAGAGCGGGTGGTCCGAGAGCCTCAGTCACCTCTGACTCAAGATAGAGCCACAGGCAGGTGAGGACCCTAGAGAGCAGCCCCAACAAACGTGGAGTCCCATGACAAGGACCCACACGGAGGCCCACAGCCCTCCTACCTCCCTTCCTGCACCCTGCGGGCCCCGGGGACAAGCGGCGGACAGCCTATCTGCGCCCCCACAGGTGCGGTGGTTCGAGCAGCAGACGCTGCGGCGGCGGGTGAAGCGCTCGTTGGCGGTGCCCACGGACCCCTGGTTCTCCAAGCAGTGGTACATGGTGAGTGGCTGGCCCGGGGCAGGGAGGGCAGGGCAGGCCACAGCCCCCCTGACCCCGGGACCCTGCCTCGCGCAGAACAAAGAGGTGCAGCCGGACCTGAACATCCTGCAGGTCTGGAACCAGGGGCTCACCGGCCGGGGCGTCGTGATCTCCGTGCTGGATGACGGCATCGAGAAGGACCACCCGGACCTCTGGGCCAACTATGTGAGACCTCGGGCAGCCTGGGCTAGGGGCTGCCCCATGTCCTCAGGTCGGCCTCTACCCTGGGGACAACTTGCACCCCCTCACATCCTCACCCACCCCCAGGACCCCCTGGCCAGCTATGACTTTAATGACTACGACCCAGACCCCCAGCCCCGCTACACGCCCAGCGACGAGAACCGGTGAGCCCGGGGTCCCACAGTGCCTGGGGGCGGGCCCCAGTACCCAATGGGGGGATGGACAGGGGCTGTGACGGTGCCCTCTCGGCCCTGGCACCAGGCACGGGACCCGCTGTGCTGGGGAGGTGGCAGCAATCGTGAACAATGGCTTCTGCGGTGTAGGTGTCGCCTTCAACGCCCGGATCGGAGGTACCCAGGGTCCCCCAGAGGCTCCACTTGGGGACAGAGGCTGGAGGGGGTGACACTGGGGAGGGTTGCGCAAGCCATCCAGGGAGGAAGATGCCTGCGCCCACCTCCTGCTCCCTGCGCTGGGAGCTGAGCCCACAGGGAAGGCCCCACACCTGCGGGGCAGAGGGAGTGTGGGGGCTGGGGGGGACGGCGGGATGGCAGGACGCACCGGTGGGCCTGCCAGGGCGCAGGGCGTGGGGCCGGCTGGTAGGCAGCGGCCGGGCGCCCGTGCAGGTGTGCGCATGCTGGACGGCACCATCACCGATGTCATCGAGGCGCAGTCGCTGAGCCTGCAGCCACAGCACATCCACATCTACAGCGCCAGCTGGGGCCCCGAGGATGACGGCCGCACGGTGGACGGCCCCGGCATCCTCACCCGCGAGGCCTTCCGGCGCGGCGTGACCAAGGTGGGTGAGCAGGACCCCGTGCCCTGGCCGAGCCTGCCCCTGCCCGGGGGCCGGGCCGACGCCGCCCTCCCCACGTGCCCCCCTGCCACCCCGCAGGGCCGCGGCGGGCTGGGCACACTCTTCATCTGGGCGTCGGGCAACGGCGGCCTCCACTACGACAACTGCAACTGTGACGGCTACACCAACAGCATCCACACGCTGTCCGTGGGCAGCACCACGCAGCAGGGCCACGTGCCCTGGTACAGCGAGGCCTGCGCCTCCACCCTCACCACCACCTACAGCAGCGGCGTCGCCACCGACCCCCAGATCGTGAGTGACGCCCCGACGGGGTCTCCCCCTCCTCCCTCCTGTCCCCTGCGGTTTGTTGCTGTGCGGATGAACCGCGTAGTGCCACGACAGGGCTCAGGGCTGCAGGGCACTGTCTCCAGCACGGTGTACGCTGCACCGGATGGGGCATTCTCTAATCTCTTGCTCCTCCCCTGAAAGCTGCTTTTAAAACCCACATCCAATCCCATCAGCCTGGTCGGAGCCCCCTTCTGGCTCCCTGTGGCTCTTCAATGACACCAAGCCCTATGCCCAGGCCACCACTGGGCCCCATGTCACCCACCTGCCAGAACTTTTAGCCTCATTCCACCAGCCCCTTTGGCCTTGAGGCCACCATGGAGGCCCTTCCCTCTGCCCCGAACACTTCCCCACCTTCTGCCCCCCTGGCTCTTCCTTCACACCTCTACCCAAGGGCCGCTGCCTCCAGGAAGTCCGCTCAGATCACTTCCCCATGCTGGACCTGCCCCCACCCGATACACATGCCCTTGGTGGCAGCACCACAGCACGAGTTTCCCTGAGGCTGGGACAGGAAGGGCTGGGCCCTCCCTTAGGCCCCAAGGCCAGAAACAGCAGGTGCTCTCCGAACACCAGCAAACCCGTTTCCTCCCAGGGCTGCCCAGGTGGCCCCTGGCACACAGACACTGGGCCTAGGACCAGACCCTCCTGTTGCCGCTTTGCCAACTCCCACGTTTCCCAGGCATTGTGGCCGAGCAGGGACTTTCTGAATTCAGTCTTTAGTGCTTTTTGATCTCAGTCCTTGTATTTATTGAGCTTAGTGCTTATGTTTCAAACTCATCCTTGGTACTTTTTGAGCTCAGTCCTTGGTACTTTTTGATCTCAGCCGTTGGTACTTATGGAACTTGGTCCTTGGTACTTTTTGAATAAGGGCTGCATTTTCACTGCGCGCTGGGCCCCCCGAGGCCTGCCGCTCTCCGCCCTCAGGTCACCACGGACCTGCACCACCGGTGCACGGACAAGCACACGGGCACCTCGGCCTCAGCCCCGCTGGCCGCGGGCATCATCGCCCTGGCTCTGGAGGCCAAGTAGGTTCCGGTGGGGGCCCTGCCCGCCGCCCCACCCGCCAGGCATGGGCCTGGGCTCACCAGCCCTCCCCCCTCAGCCCGTTCCTGACGTGGAGGGACATGCAGCACCTCGTGGTCCGCGCATCCAGGCCGGCACAGCTGCAGGCTGAGGACTGGATGACCAATGGCGTGGGGCGCCAAGGTGCGGTGGGGCCGGGTGGCGGTGGGGACACCAGGCCCACAGGGCCAGTGACGGCAGTCATTCTGCACAGTGAGCCACCACTATGGCTACGGACTGCTGGACGCTGGGCTGCTGGTGGACATGGCCCGCAGCTGGATGCCCACACGGCCCCAGAAGAAATGCATCATCCAAGTCCTGCACAACCCCACGTGAGGGTCCCCCCACGGCTGTCCTTCCCCACAGGGTGGGGCCAGGGGAAGGGGGGCAGGCCCAGAGGCCTCAGTTACTCGTGGGAGAACCCAGGGGCTAGACCCCATGGCCTCCGAGCCCTGCCTGCCTGTTGGCCACCCATGCTGGGCAGGCCGGCAGGAGGGTGCTCACTCCCTCGCCCCTGCAGCCCCATCCTGCCGCTCATGCACGTGGGGACGAACGTGTCGGCCTGCGCCGGCAGCCACAACTACATCCGCTCGCTGGAGCACGTGCAGGTGCAGCTGTCACTGTCCTACAGCCGCCGCGGGGACCTGGAGATCTCCCTCACCAGCCCCATGGGCACCCGCTCCACGCTTGTCGCCATCAGGTGTGCGCCAGGGTGGGGCAGCCTCGCGCCGGCGGGTCAGTGAGGCTGTTTTCCTGGGGCCTCGCAGGAGGGGCACGTGCATTCTGGATTCACGGGGCAGCCTGCGCAGGTCGGACCCCCCACGCCCTGCCGCAGGGTCAGACACGCACTGCGGCTCTGCGGGTCTTCACGCTGTGCTTGCGAAGCCGCCCCTCTCCCCCGCCCACTTGTCTGTCCCAGGCCCCTGGACATCAGCGGCCAAGGCTACAACAACTGGATCTTCATGTCCACCCACTTCTGGGATGAGAACCCACAGGGCCTGTGGATCCTGGGCCTAGAGAACAAGGGCTACTATTTCAACACGGGTGAGGGCCAGGCCAGGTGGGCTGGGGTGGGACAGGGCCTCAGACGCCAGCCCCTCCTGTTACCCCTGCCAAAGGGGTTCCCAGGGGCTCCGAGAGAACGTGTGCAGTAGTGTGCTGTTACCTGGGAGAAGGTCTCCAGGGACAGACACCCAGTAGGTGTGCTGATACCTAGGAGGAGTAGGTGTCTGGCCACTGGTGCACAGTAGGTGTGCTGATACCCATACTGGGAGAAGTAGGTCTCCAGGTACAGACACCCAGTAGGTGTGCTGTTACCTGGGAGTAGGTCTTTAGATACAGGCATCCAGTAGGTGTGCTGATACCTGGGAGAAGTAGATGTCTGGCCACTGTCACACAGTAGGTGTGCTGTTACCTGGGAGAAGTAAGTATAGTCACTTAGCAGGCATCTAGCAACTGGTGCACAGTAGGTGCTTAGCAGCCAGGGCGCCAGATGAACCTGGTGACAGGTGGGAGGTGTAGGGTTGCGGGGGTGGGTGCCCCAGGCACTGGCAGGACCAGTTGCCAACAGCCTCCTGCTCCTCCCATGCCCCGGCTACCCCTGCCCAGGGACGCTGTACCACTACACGCTGCTGCTCTATGGGACGGCCGAGGACATGACGTTGCGGCCCTCGGGCTTCCAGGTGACCAGCAGCGCGTGTGTGCAGCGGGACACAGAGGGGCTGTGCCAGGGTGAGTGGCCGGCGGCGCGGCCCTCCTGCTGGGAGGCGGCGGGCAGTGTGAGTGTGCGGCCGCGGGCGGGCGGGCTCGGTGCTGCGGGCGGGCGACAGCCTCACGCGCCTGCGTCCCGCAGAGTGCCACAGCCCCGCCTACCTTCTGGGCCGGCGCTGCCTCGCCTATTGCCCCCCGCGGTTCTTCAACCACACGCGGCGGGCCGTGACCGCGGGGCCCGGGCGCCCGGCCACGCCCGCGCTGAGGGTGTGCGCCAGCTGCCACTCGTCCTGCTACACCTGCCGCGGCGGGTCCGCGCGCGACTGCACCGCCTGCCCGCCGTCGTCCACACTCGACAGGCGGCGGGGCTCCTGCTCCGGGCCCGCCGACCCCCGCGGCCTCCCCCAGCCCACCGCCACCGCCGCCAGCGCCCGCTGCGGCCGCCCCCACCGCCCGTCCCCCGCCGTGGTGCCCGTCCTGCTGGCTGTGGCTGTCGGGGGCCCCCTCCTCTGTGGCGCATCCACCGGCCGCCCGCCATAGGCCGGGTCCCAGACGCCGGGGTTGCCCCCATCACCTGCCAGGCCCAGCTGCCGACTAGAACCCGGAGCTTGGACCCGCCCACGCCTGGGCCCCACGGGCACTGCGTCCCGCCCCTGCTAGACTGGCCTGGAGGGGTGAGAACGGCCCTGAGGGCCCTGGCTGGGCCACGTGGAACCTCCAGGTGGAAGACAGAGAGAGGAGTCCTGTACAGATTTTGGGTTTGGGGGAGGGGGAGGGTTGGGACAGAGCCCAGACCACCATGACCACCATCCCTTCCCTGCCCCTGAATCCTGGGGAAAGTGGAGGGAGGAAAACATGACGCCGTCCGGTCTCTGGCACAGCGTCCGACCTCAGAGTTTGCAAATAAAGGTTGAATACAAGGTGCCAAGTCTGAGGCCTCCTTGGGCGCGGGGCAGCCCTGTGAGCCCCAGGGCCCAGCAGACTCCAGTTGGGTCCCCCAGACATCAGCCCCTGGTCCTAGGACCCAGTGGGCCCCAATGGGAGAGTCAAGCCCAAGGATATTGGGGGAGGGATGGGGTCCCGAGGCCATGCCCACATGTTGCCAACACCTAGTGTCCAACCATGGGGCACGGCCCATCCTGGCCCAAACTTTTTATTATTTTTATTTTATTTTGATGTTAAAAATTAAATTTTATTTTTAGCATGCTTCTCAGCAGAATAGGTAACTTTTTAACAAAAAAGTTTAAAAACTTTTTAACTTTTTAACAGAAGTGGCCGGGCAGGGTGGCTCACACCTGTAATCCTAGCACTCTGGAAGGCCAAGGCGGGTAGATCGCTCGATCAGGAGTTCGGGAGTCAGATCAGGAGCTCAACACCAGCCTGAGCAAGAGCCAGACCCCATCTCTACTAAAAATAGAAAGAAATTAGCTGGACAACTAAAAATATATAGAAAAAAAATAGCCAGGCATGGTGGCGCATGCCTGTAGTCCCAGCTACTCGGGAGGCTGAGGCAGGAGGATCCTTGAGCCCAGGAGTTTGAGGTTGCTATGAGCTAGGCTGATGCCACAGCACTCTAACCTGGGCAACACAGAAACACTCTATCCCCCCCCCAAAAAAAAGAGAGAACTAACAGAAGCATGATCAGCAGATCATAGTTCAGGTGGCCGGTTCTGGGCAGGTCTATCGAGGTGACAGTAATTATACTTCTCAGGTCTCCGATGGCCACGGGGAGGTGGAGGCCTCGTGAGAGTGTAATTACGGACTCTCAACATCCCCACCCATAAAGCAGGTTTTCTACCTTTCTGGAACTGCAGATGGATCCCCAGGTGTGCAAAGTGTGAGCAATAGGGTGCCAGGGCAGGTGCCAGCTATGCAAGTGCCACCTGTGTCCTCGCACATACCAGAGATGTGGACACACCTGAATCCTAATGTTCATTTCTGTGCGATATCATGTCAAATCAAAACGACTTGAATACTTCTTTGCAAGGTCAGACTAAGTCTATGAATGATATGTAGCAAAAAATCCAAGCATTTTGAAAAAAGCTATCTTTTTTCAAAATAATTCTTCAAAAGGAAACTTTGATGAACATTTTCCCTAGTTAGCAAAGGTCATTGATGAGCAGGATGATATATGTGGATCTTGAAGAATACGCAGCTATTACAGACCTATTTCTTCTTCCTCTTCTTCTTCTTCTTCTTCTTTTTTTTTTTTTTTTTGCCAACTGAGTACCAAGTTACAGACCTATTAATTGGAGAATACAATGAAAGGTTCACTGACTTTGAGAATCATGACATCACACTCAAATTAGCATTCCCACTTCCCCTAGTGGATATCACCAAAGCACCTAAAGAACTACTGATGGACTTGATTCAGCTGTCAGTAGATGACATTTTAAAGTCATTGTTTGATGCTAAGAAAGATGTAACTGAAACATGGAAAAATGCAGTAGAATACCCATGCCTTCAGCAACATGCCCCCAAATACTTGCTTTTCAACCACTTAACTGCTGTGAATCTACCTTCTCCTGCTTAACCCAACATTCCCTTAAGGTCACAAATGACTGACACCCATCTACGGGATCAACTGAAACTACGGACCTCCATGCTGCAACCAAACATTCAAATACTTTCCAACAAAAATCAGACACGACCAAGCCATTAAAAGGTTAATTTTAAAATTAACAAATAGTTTTCATTTTTTGAAATTATTAAGCACATAGTAGATTTTTACAAAATAATGTACATTATTATGTACATTAAGTATGCCTAATTGAAGTTTCTTGAATGGGGCCTTATTTGATTATAACTAAATTAATTTGGCCTTCCCACATGAAAATGTTCCCCACCCCTGGACAAAACAAACTTGATAGTCCACACACTGTAACATCACTCAGCCATGAAAAGGGACGAGGCTCTGACACAGGCCACAACGTGGATGAACCTTAAGGACAGCGAGCTCAGTGAGAGATGCCAGGCACAGAAGGACACACAGTGTGTGACTCAGTTTATATGAAATGTCCAGAACAGGCAGATCCACAGAGAAGGGAAGCTGGGTGTGGGGTGGGGTGGGGACTGGCTGCTAACAGGAGCAGGGTTTCTTTTGGGGTGATGAGAATGTTCTGGAAATAGTTTATGCTGATGGTTGCCCAACTCTAAATATATGAAAACTCTAAAACCATTTAATTATACACTTTCTACAGGGGAACTTTAGGGTATGTACATTGCATCTCAATAAAGCTCTTCAAAAACACGACAACCGCCCTCCACCTTCCAACCCCAGCCGTCGGAGGAGGGGCCCAGATGACAGCCCAGTACCATCCTTAGGGGAGCAGGGAGGTTTTAGAAAGTGGAGGGGTGACCCTGACCCAGAGTTGGAAGGCGAGATACTGACATGCTTCCTGCCTCTGTGACCCCTCGGTGGTTAGAGTAGCCGGCATGTGTTGAGCGCTCACTTCCCGCCAGGGCCCCTCCGGTGCACGGGGACTTAGTCCCCAAAAGTGTTGGGTGTCCCCCTTTTGCAGGAACCCGAGCTTTGGAGGCTTTGCTACCCAGTCTGAGGAGCCCAGACTCGAACTCACTAGCGCCCCTTGCACTTCCGGGCCCGGGTTCCCCCGGAGGCTGAGAGCGTGCTGGACCAGCAGCTCCTCGGATCGGACCGGGACACTCCGTGGCGCGGCCCCTTTAAGAAGGGGCGGGGCCGGGCGGTAAGTGGCGGGCCGGAGCTAGATGAGGGCGGAAGCGCGTGTCAAGTGCTCAGGCGCAGGGCTGAGCTCCGACCGGAAGCGGAAGTGGGTGCCTCGGCGGTGCTAGCGGCGCTGGTGGCTCCGGGAGCGCACCCAGGTGAGACGAGGCAGGCGATAGGCGTTTCCGTTGGGAAACTGAGGCAGAGGGCAAACCGGAGCCCGAAGGCCCGGGCCTCGTGTGTTGGGCAGAGGGAGAGTCACTGGCTGGGCGAGCCCGTAGGAGCGGGGCTGCGACGAGTGCGTCCGGGTTCGCTGGGCGGGAGGAACGGCCCAGGCTAAGGCCAAGGGATGGGCACCCCAGTCAAGGCGCCCTTCTCCCGCTGCAGGCATGGGCTCCAAGGCCAAGAAGCGCGTGGTGCTGCCCACCCGCCCCGCGCCCCCCACGGTGGAGCAAATCCTGGAGGACGTGCGGGGGGCGCCGGCCGGGGACCCCGTCTTCACCGCCCTGGCCGCGGAAGGTAGGCGGGGCCCGTGCTCGGGGTTGGGAGGACGCGGTACCCCAGCAGCAAGGGGGAAGGGGAGAAGCACACCCCTGACTCCCACCCCGGCTCCTGGTGACCCCAGGGCAGGTAAAACCGTGGAATCGGGAGCCCAGACTCGGGGACCAGTAACCCGAGCAGGATCCTTATTCTCTCTGAGCTCCCCTCCTCACATGCGAAGTGGGGCGTATCTTCAGGGGGTCCTTTAAAACAGGGGCGGGTCAACTAGTGCCTGAGGCCAAACCTTGCCCCCTGCCTGTTTTTGTAGGGCCAGAGAGCTAATAATGAATTTTTTTAAAGTTTTTTTGTTTTAGAGATAGTCTCTGTCGCCCAGGCTGGAGTGCAGTGGCGTCAGCACAACTCACTGCAGCCTCCAACTCCTGGCCTCAATCGATCCTCCTGCCTCAGCCTCCCAGAATGCGGGGATGACAGGTGTCAACCACTGTGCCTGGCTGGGAACAATGTTTAAATTAAGTAGCACCTGCCTAAGCACATTTAAGGAACCACACATCGCTAGCAGCTGCTCTAGTGAACACAGGTGGAAGACATTTCCATCATCTGGAAAGTTCCATGGGACGTTGCTGCTCTAGGTGCATGTCCTGGATTGTTGCTGGTGGGCACCTGGGTCATCTGAGGGTGCTCGAACTCCAGTTTAAGAATCATGGGTGCAGGACCAGGTGCACCTGCATTTTAGTGTGGGGAAACTGAGGCATGGCAGTGCAGGGGCTCGCTCCAGGAAGAAGGCATTCTCTGCTGGCCTGCCTTGTCCGTGTGCACTGCCTGGCCTTTCCCACCTTATTACTAACACAGGCGGTAAATTAGCGGTTTCTAATCAGACACCAGTGTTCTCTGAACCAGTGCTGGATGGGTAGCTGCATTAGTGGGAACCCGCCCGGCTGCCAGGAAAGGCAGGCCGTAGCATCTCCGTGCGTAGACAAGGGGACCACGGAAGAGGGGACCCGGATATGTCTCTGAGTGACCCTGAAGCCTGTGCTCTTTGACCCTGCTGCCACAGGCCTGGGCTCTCATCAAAGCAGGGGCCCTGTTCGAGGTCTCTGCTAGATGTGAGAGTTGCTGGGAAATGGGTTGTCACATCTCCCAAGTGTTGGGTCCCTGAGGTCACAAAGCCATAGGAGAGGCTCCCATAGAGAGTGCAGGGGTGACAGCCACGCCCGATGGCAAGGGCTGGGCTTTGTTTATGACCTGTCCCATGGCCACACCCTTTGCTGAGGGGTTGTGTCTCCTGGCTGGGTGGCCAGGGACCTTTCATGACTTTTAAAAGACCCTACCCCGGACTGGGCGCGGTGGCTCACGCCTGTAATCCTAGCACTCTGGGAGGCCAAGGCGGGCGGATTGCTGGAGTCAGGAGTTCGAAACCAGCCTGAGCAAGAGCGAGACCCCCCCCTACTATAAATAGAAATAAATTAATTGGCTAACTAATATATATATATATAAAATTAGCCAGGCATGGTGGCGCATGCCTATAGTCCTAGCTACTTGGGAGGCTGAGGCAGGAGGATCGCTTGAGCCCAGGAGTTTGAGGTTGCTGTGAGCTAGACTGACGCCACGGCACTCACTCTAGCCTGGGCAACAAAGCGAGACTCTGTCTCAAAAAAAGAAAGACCCTGGTCCAAAGGTTACTCAGGGAAAATGCCCTGTGGGGTGCCCCGGTGTGGTGAGGCATGCCCAGGAGTCTGCACTGTGGCCTTTCCTGACCAGTGACGCTGCTGTATCCTGCCCCCAGACCCCCCAGGCCCCTCCAGGAGGGCGGAGGACTCAGAGGCCCAGTGGGAGCAGCTCTATCAGCAGAGCCGGGCCTACGTGGCCACCAACCAGCAGCTGCAGCAGGCGCGTGATGGGCTCAGGCAGAAGTGTGAGTGCCTGCGGCAAGCTGGAGAGGACCTGGCGAGGGAGGTGGACCAGGTGAAGCAGGCGGCCCTGCTGGAGGCTGCGGCTGCCTCCTCAGGCTGACCTCGGGGCTGCCCACCCAGGGACCCAATCGCACTTCATGTGGGTCCTCAGCACCTGTGAGTGAGGCTGGCGTCCATCATGCTGACTGTCCAGCTGGCTCCGTCCTTCTATGTGCCCTGCTGGATGGGAGGACGCCTGCTCCGCTGCAGTTCCGTCCCCTCCTTCACCCATGGTTGCCGCGGCCCTGACATGAGATGGGGCCGCTGGGGGCAGATGCCACCTCTTTCCTTCCCAGGGCAGGCACTTGAGTGTCCACTTCTGAGTCCTGTGCCAGGCCCACAGTTAGGGTGTGGCACTGACTTGTTAACTGTGGTCCAGTCAAACAGGCGCCCACCTGGCACCAGGGCCTCCTGAGGGCCAGTACCAGCCTCTGGTCCCACTTCCTTCCGCTTTGGGGGCTCCTCCCACGCCCATCTTCACAACAGTCCTGGGCTGCCAGGGTCACCGTTCGTGCTGCCCACAAGAGAAGATGACCCAGGCCCCTGCCAGGTTCAGCGTCCACCGTTGGCTGACAGGATGGCTCATCATCACTGCCCGGAGCTGGCCGGGTCACCCGGGCCTCACACTGCCGCCCATCTGCACAGGGTCAGGTGGGGATTGGGGTGGCCAAGGACCTTAAAAAGGGCCTTTCATGGTAAAAGTCACATCAAGCAGGAACTAGAGCAGCATGGGACCTGGGGGAGGTGGTCGGAGGCCAGACCCTGAAGTGTCCCCCAGGCCCTGCAGGGAAAATCCACCATGTCCAGCAGGCCTTCTGAACGGCCACTCCTGGGGCCCTGGGAGGGATGCGCGTGGCTGACAGGCAGGACACTGGCTGAGGCTGCCTCACACCTCCTCTCAGACCTCTTTGTTTCTGGAACGTGAAAGATATTTCTTTTTCCCCATACAAGGGGTACCTGCAGAACCTGAGACTCTAAACCAGAAACGGGGGCCCAGGGGGCCCAGCCTGAGCTGGGCTCTGGGGTGCCATCCACCCTTGGGAGCTCCCCTGGGGGCCAGGCAGAGACCCTGCCAGCCTCACCCAGCCCCTCCCCTGCCCCCAAATAAACCCCACACCCAGGTCCTGCCTGCGGGGCCTGGCCGGAGGCGTCTGTCCAGCAAAACGTGGCCCCTTTGTTCCTGGCAGGAGCAAGGCTTCACACCCAGCCTGTCCCCCACCCTTGCCCAGTGCTCAGCCCGCTGAGGAACAGGAGCCACAGGCAGCGTGGGGCAACTGGACAGCTCCATTTATTAAAGTTGCACAGGAGTCGGACGGCTGACTGCGTGTCGTCCTTCTGCCAGACAGATGGCTTTACATTGAGGGGGACAGACGGAGGCTTTATCTATGTACACGTTCATTTAACACTGTGCAGGGACCTGGCACAAGGACAGGGTGGCAGCAGGATGAACCAGAGAAAGGCCAGGCGAGAGTCCCAGTGCTGTGACCAGGGTGACAGACGGGGCGGGTGAGGTAATGCCGTTGGCTGCTGGGGCAGGCCGCACCATTGGGTGTGGCACCCCAAGTTCAGCACCCAGATGTGGTAGTGTTGGGGGCAGGCGGTGGTCGGGGCTGCCTTGGGACATCAGACCCTCATTGCCCCCAAGGCTGGCCACAGGATGCTTCAGAGGCCAGTGGGGACCCCACGTGGCCCAGGTGCAGAGTGGCTGAGCAGGGTCTGCAGATGAGACACTGGTCTGTTGCAGAGGGCAGAGAAGGCAGAAGTGACCCCAGATGTGGGATATGGCAGGGGTAGTGGCTGGCGGGAGCCCAGAGGTCCCTGCTGCTCTCTCAGGGCTGGGCTGGGGGGTGACACGGGCAGTCCTGCCAGGCCTGGGTTCTGGGAGCAATGCTAGGCGTGTCCCACCTCATGGCAGCAACCCACTAGCCTGAGAGGTAGCTCTGGGAGTTCCCACGGCCCACGTGGGGAAACCGAGGCACAGGGCAGTGAGATCACCGCCAGGGTCTCACAGTGCATGGGAGGTGGGGCTGCACCTCATCTGCAGCTGGGGTCCACCGGCTGTTTGCCCACTGCCAGGCCATCTCGGGTGCAGCCAGCCCGCAGTCCCCAGTCTGAAGGCTCAGGAGAGACCACCGGTCCTGCCCCAAGGGTCCAGGGAGTTCCAGAGATGCCCCGCTGCATCCTGAGTAGGCTCTTGGCAGGGCAAGGTCGCCCTGCTCAGCCTACATCCTCCTCCCCTCCCTGCTCCCTCACTGGCGGGGCAGCAGCCCTGCATTTGTTGGTGATTTAAGGACACCAAGGTCCAGGCAGAGCCCTGGGCAGCAGTCCTGCAGGACATGGCGTTTGGGAGAGTAGTAATGCAACACGGCCACATCTATGGAAGCAGCAGCACGTTATTTCTGAGGTGGGGCCTGAGGTCAGCGTTGAGTCCTGGAGGTGAGGGCAGCTCCTTCGACTTGGGGGACAGGAGGGAGCAGGGTTCCTTCTGAGCTGCTTGCACTCGCCTCTCAGGTCCCCCTTCCTTCCTCCCAGAGAAGGACAGGGACAGGCACGTGGAGTGGACCAGAGTCTGCCCTCAGTAGCAACCGCGGGGCAGCTGCGGCGGCAGTGCGTGTGCAAAGCGCAGCTGTTCCCGGAGCCGGGACTGTGTAGGAAAGAGGTTACTGGCTCCTTCTGCAGGAAGATGTGCTCAGAGCTGGAGCTGGCCACATGCACTGGAGTCCCAGAGCAGAGGCCACCATGGAGCCGTGGACAGCCCCGCCCCTGCTCCCTGTCTGCTGCTGCCTCATCTGGTGCCAAACGCTTCCCAGCACCTGGTTCGCTTCCCAGCACCTGGTTCGCGGCCTCCTCACATCCAGCCGGCTGGCCTTGGGCTCCCACCTCATTCCAAAGCCCCGTGTTGAGTTCATGCTTTCTCAGCTTGGTGGAGGACGAGGCTCCAGTTTCCCCTGCCCCCAGCAGTGCTGTCCCTGGAGTTCCAAGGTCCCAGCAGTTTATGAGTCATAAATGAGAAAAATTGAAAAGGGAACAAGACCCCCAGCGGCACAGCCATTGGCGCTCACGACCAACCACGTCCATAAAGTGCAGTCTCCCGTGGGGACAGAGGCCAGGCCTCTTTCCCATCCCCACCATGGCTGGGCTGGCCTGATCATGACTCCAGCGACCTCTGGGGTCAACCTAGCTGGCAGCCAGTGTCTTCCAGGTGAGGTTGGAGGACACTGGCAGCAGCCAGAGCACAGGGTGGCCCCACATCCGCCCGGCCCGGGGTGTGCACTAGGTGCTCTCCAGTCTTCCCCACACCACCTGCCTCCCCATCTTCCTGCAGGGGACAGGGTGACCTGGTGGCCCCCTCCCCTGCCCACTGCCCACCCGCCAGCACCTCCCCCAGTGTCGGCTCCAGGCTCCCTGAACACCCCCATCAGGGTAGGGGTGTTCCTGTTGGGCTCAGCCACACCCTCACCCCGCACTCCCCCAGCTGGGACTCAGAATGAAAACAAGCCCCGCAAAGCCATCATTAAGGAATTACCCGCTGCTGCTGTAATTACAGCTTTCTCAGGGCGCCACCTCCCTCAGCCTGTGCCCCCCTCAGATGGCTGCCGTCCCCTCCCCCGGCGGTGCCCCTGCTGCAAGTGCAGGAGCTTAAGCTCTCCAGAGGGGAGGGGTCTTGAGGGCTGAGGCCAATGACCACAGAGCCCCTAGGTGGTCTGTGTGCAAGGCGGCCAAGGGCTGGGCCAGGGCGCCCCGTGCGCTCAGTGGCAGGACTTGTGCCTGGCAGCAGCACCCACAGCACAGTAGCGGGGCCTTCCCCAAGGGGTGTGAGGCCGCTGGGTGCTGGGTGGGGGCTCTGCAGGTGGGACTCGGGTGGGCAGAGACCCTGGAGCGACCTACTGGGAGCATCTATAGCGGAGGCCCCCTGGCAGCCAGACTGGGCCTCAGGGCCAGGAGAGAATGTTCCAGAAGGCCAGCAAGGCCACTATTCCAGGAGGCTGGTGGAGGTGGTGGCTGGGGCTTTCTCTGCGGCAGACTCGGTGGTGGCTGCCACCATGGGACTGGGCACATAGTTGAAGGGGGGCACTCGGGCCGCACGGCTGGGGGAGCCATGCCGGCTGGCAGGGAAGACCCCCACGGCAACACCCAGGCCCTCGTGGACGAAGGGGACAGCACTGGGTGCCTTGGTGGGGACCGGCCCGTCCACATCGCTGCCGAGGAGGGCAGCCTGGCTGCCAGCCGGGACCCCGGGTGGCTCCCTGCTCTCCAGGCTTGGGGACGTGCTGGAGTTGGTCTTGGGGGCAGCTACCTCCTCGGTCTGCACCACCGCGTCGCTGGTCTTGCGCGGCGGGGGGCTGGCCGGGCCCTCCTCGGGCGTGGTGGCCCTGAGGGGCAGCGCCGTGGCGGGCAGCGTGCTGCGCAGAATGTGGGGCACGTCCTCATCCCGGATGCGGCGCCACGTGGTGCCCGGCGCGGCCACCCTGGGCAGGGGCCGGGCCTCCCCATCGCTGCTGCGGCGAGCGGGGTCGGCAGGGCCAGGGGGCGCGGGGGCGGTGTCGGGGCGGCGCGCCACGCTGATGTGGGGCAGGGACGCGTAGCGCTTCACGGGCTCTGGCCGCACGGCGGGCGTGCGCACTGGCAGGCGGGACGGGCTCTCGGAGCTGGTGCGCCGGGACGCGCGCTCCCCGGGGCCCGGCCGGGTGGCTGGGGTCCGTTGCGGGGCCGAGGCCTGCCGGGGCGCCGCCCGCAGTTCGTCGCAGCGAGAGGAGCAGAGAAAGACAGCAGGCAGCGCGGGCCGCCCTCGGCGGGGCGATGAGACTTGGGGAGCGGAGGCCGTGGACTCGGCCGAGGACAGCTCTGAGCGGCGGCGGCGCAGCAGCCCTGGAGACTCCTTGATGAAGGTCAGCTGTCGCCGGAACCCCGAGCGGTCGGACGACTCGCTGCCGCTGGAGCGGGCAGAGGCCACGCGCACCAGGCCCAGGCGGCCTCCGCGCGCGCCCGGGCCCCCCTCGGCTCCCACCCGGCCCCTAGGGCCTGGCTCGGGGGCTGCCCGGGCCAGCGGCGGGGGTCCCCGCCTGGCCGGCTTCTGCATGAACGGGATGCGCACGGGCGACTTCTGCGTCTTGTGCTGCTTGGCCAGCAGGGCGCGCGCCGGAGTCTTGGGCACAGGGGAGGCCCCAGGGCCAGGCAGGGGCCCTGCAGCCTGGGGGGCTGGCGGGCACTTCCTGGGCAGGGGCTGAGAGGCGGGCGAGGTCTGGGAGGAGCTGGAGGAGGGAGTCTTGGCCAGGCGGGCAGGTGGTGTGGCACTCCTCGGGGGCTGGCATAGCGTCGCCAGCTCTGAGGTCTTCCCAGGCCGGTGCAGGCTCCGAGACCGCTGCTGCCCTGGGCTGGGGGCTTTGGCTGGGGCCGCTGGCTGTGTGGGACCAGGGAGCCCCATCTTTCGCGGTGTGGCACGGGGGCCGGTGGCGCCTTTGGGCTGGGCTTGGGTGGCTGGACTGGGCACGTAGATCACTGTCCGTCCTCGGAGCACAGTTGGCACCCCAGACGCAGTCTTCTGAGTGCCGCGGGGCTTCTCGGGGCCTCCAGGGGAGTGGGGGCTGCCCCTGCTCTTGGCTGAGGCCGTAACTCGTTTCTCTGGCCGCCGGGGACTGCTCACCTCGCCCGATGCCCTGACCTGTCGGCCCTTTCTGTGCTTGGGGGGCTGCAGGGTAGAGCCCATCGACAGCCCCGACGGGAAGGACAGCATGGAGTCAGACTCTGAGGAGGCCTCTCGGGTGGCAGCCGCCGCCTGGTGCAGCCATGTGACGATGGAATTGGCACCTTCCTGGATGGCACGCCACTCGACGCTATCCAGGTCGGACGCCTGGTCCGAGCCTGCCGCCTCCTCTCCGTGCTCCCGGGGCACCTCCGCCGGCCGCTCATCTGGCCGGGTAGCTCGTGGCTTGCGACGCCGCAGCCCGGCCAGCGGGGGCCGGCGCCTGGGCATGGCCGAGCCAATGCACCGCCTCAGCAGCTCCTCCTCCGCCCGTGGACTGGGGGAGCTGTCGTGCCCACCTCCCAGGCCTGGGTCCTTAGCGACTGCTGGCTCCCGGCCCCGTGGACGTCCGGCTGGCCGCTCGGGGGGCTCAGGCTCGCTGAGGGAGCTGGCAGAGGAGCTCAGGGAGTAGCAGGGCGGGGTCTCGTCAGCGATGAGGCTGGGCTGCGCCCGAGCCGGTGGCAGGGCAGGTGGCGCGGCCTTGGCCCTGGCCGAAGCCTCCTTCCTGCCCGCTGGGCGCTCCCTCGTCAAGGCCTGGGGGATGGCAGACGCCTGCCGGAGGGCCGGTGCGGCAGCGGCTGGCTCCTCGTCAGAGTCGTTGCCGTAGAAGCAGTACACGGCCTCCTCGGTGGGCGTGGTGAGGCACAGTGACTGCAGCGCCCCATCTCCGCGTGCCCGGCCTGGGCACGCGCTGTCCCTGTCTGAGTGGGCGCTCGAGGGCCGCCCTAGGGGTAGCTCCAGCCCTGCCCGGTTCCTGCCGGCCCCCCGGGCCTGCTCCGTGCTCCGGCCTGTGCCCCCCGCCTTGTGCCGGTGCCCGGCAGCCTGCTTAGCCGGGGCTGTGCGGCCTGTGGGTCTCTGCCTGTCTGCCAGCCCCCCGGGCTGGTCTCTGGGCGGTCCCTGCAGCGTCTCATCGCTGAGCGAGGCGGCGCTGGAGAAGTTGACAGGTGTGCCCTCAGCCGAGTCCGTGCAGGAGTCGTCCTCCCGGGCCGGGGCGGGCACCAGCATGTAGACCGGCACAGGCAGTGCCCGGCGGCCGGACACCAGCGCTGAGGCCACCTTGCGGAGGCGGGCGGGCATGGCGGCCCCCAAGCATTCGCGCAGCAGCTCCAGCTCTTGGTCGGCGGCCGAGCGGGTGCGAGAGCCTGCGGGCACCGGCCCGTCATCCTTGCGGCGGTGCCCGGCAAAGTGGAGGCCGGCGCCCCCTGCGCCCCCACCGCGCTCAGGGCAGGCGGGGGGCAGCAGCCGCAGCTCCACGTCCTGCTGCACGTAGTGCTCGTGCAGCGCCAGCGCGCTGAGGCTGGAGGCGCACGAGAAGTTCTCGTCGGGCTTCTCCACGGTGAAGCGGACGCTCCCAGCGTCCAGCTCGGACGGCAGCCGGCAGCGCTCGCGGCAGTCGGCGATGTCCAGGAAGCGCTTCACGTAGCTCTCCCACTGCAGGCTGAACTGGCTCGTCTCCGGCTGGCCCGACGGCGCGGGCGCCAGTGGCGGGGTCTTGCTGCGGCTGGGCGGCATGGTCTGCCCGGGGCTGTCGGGCAGCTCGCTGGGGCTGACAGTGCCGCTGCCCAGGCCGCTGCAGGGGTCGCTGGGGATAGAGCTGGCAATGGACGGGCTCTCAAAGCTCCCCAGCGAGCTCACCGAGCTGCAGCGGCTGAGCACCAGTGGCGTCTCCTGCACGTAGTTCTCCGAGGAGCTGGACGGCGTGGCGTCCTCCACACCCAGGCCCCGGCCTCGGCCCCGCCGGGGTGCTGGGATGGCCACCGGCAGGGAGGCGGCCCCAGACCCCCGCCACGCCCCGTCCAGCTTGGCTTCGCCAGGGTCGGCCTCCTCCAGCCCCTCCAGGGAAGAGTCGCTGTCATCCAGGTCACCACCCTCGCTGGGGCCCGGGCGCCCGGCTGAGGACAGCGAGGACAGGGAGCTGCAGCGGGAGAGCGAGAGCGGCCCCTCCTGCGCCACCAGCTTCTGCAGCACCTTGCTGGCCACGGGCAGCGGGGTGGCTGCCAGCTTCTCGGGCACCTTGCTCGGGGTGTCAGCGGGCAGCCAGGCCTGCTTCCGGGCCCCAGGAGAGGGCCCATGCCCGGCGAGGGGCCCTGCGCCGGCCCTGCTCGCACCCTCGAGCAGCGGCACGTGCTGGTAGGTGGGTGAGAGCTTGATGGTATGCACGCGGACGTCAGTGGGCGCGGCCTCCCGCACCGGGGCCTCGGACTGGCCACCCGCCAGGTCAAGGTCCAGCCGGCTGGGCCGAGCCTGCCCACACCGGGGGTCATTGTGGTGCTCCGCCAGCGCGGCCAGCGGGCAGGGCCGCATGTGCTCGCGTGGGCAGTACCCATCGCTGGTGCTGCCGCTGTTGAGGCTGTCATTGGAGAGGCTGGCGTGGGCCGCCTTGAGCCGCAGCAGCGGGTGTGCCCGGCTGCCAGCCTCCCGCCGCCCACCCTCAGGGCCCCGGCAGGGCGAGCAGGACTGGGCACGGCCCTCCCTCGGCACCTCCTGCCCAGGGTCCCCGGAGCTGAGGCTGAAGCTGTCATCAGACGAGGTGTGCAGGGCGGAGATGTCCTCCACCAGCCGGTCGATGCGTGCCACCGCTAGCGCCAGCTTGGCCTTGGCCTGGGCCGCCACGGCCGCTTCCCCACTGGCCTCCTTCTCGGCCTCCAGGCCACTGCGGTGGGTAGGCTGGTTGCGAGCCAGCGCCTGTCCCTGCAGGAAGGGACTGCCCAGGAAGAGGGACAGTGCCGCAGGGCTGGCTGGCTCTGCAGTGGCAGCAGCCGCGGCCAGGGACGGTGCGTCGTCATCGTCAAAGCAGCCGGAGTCCGAAGCGTAGTCCTGGGCCAGCCCGTCCAGGTGCCGCAGCGGTGGCAGCGGCTTCTTGGAGGCGGCCTTGGGCTCGGCCACAGGCAGGCCCTGCTTCTCCAAGTGGTCCAGCGCCTGTGCCAAGTGCCGGGCGTCCAGCTCCGCCTCCAGCGCCCGCTGCTTCCGCACGTACAGGCTGGGCGCACAGCTGCCCGGCGACACGGCGGTGGCCGCCGCCTGGTACTTGGCGGGCCTGTGGGCCAGCAGGTTGCGCAGGGCGGCGGCGCTGCCCATGGCGATCATCTTGTGCTTGGAGTGCACCAGGTTGCGCAGCATGCCCACGGCGCCCAGGTCCCACAGCAGCTCCTGGTCCCGCGCGCTGCGGGCGGACAGGTTCCAGAGCGTGCCGCAGGCGTTGCTCACGATGGTCAGGCTGTGCGACGTCAGGTGCTGCAGCAGCGTCTGCAGGCAGTTGTGGTCCCGGAGCACCTGCCTGTGGCGCAGGGAGGCGGCCGGTCAGGACCAGGACTCCCCCAGCCCGCCCTCCCCTGTGGTACCAAGCGGAGGGAGGGTTGTAGGTTTAGCAGATAAAAATGAAGGACATCTGGTTACGTTTGAATTTCATAAAAATAAATAATTTTTAGTATCAGTATATCCCAAATGTTACATGAGATATACTAAAAATAATTCTTATTTTAAAAAATGTGTTATTTGTTAGTATTATTTAATATTTTATTCATTTTATTAAGTAAAAATTTAGCATGAATATAGTCCATGCAATATTTGAGCTGTACTAAAAATAAATTCTGTAGTTTCATGAATATTATCTATTAATATTATATAGTAAATAACACGTATATACTCTCGTTTTTGAGACAGGGCCTTACTCTGTCACCCAGGCTGGAGGGCAGTGGTGTCATCACAGCTCACTGCAGCCTCCAACTCCTGGGCTCAAGTGATCCTCCTGCCTCGGCCTCCTGAGTAGCTGGGACTACAGCTATGAGCCACCATGCTCGGATATACTTTTATTTTAATAAACAATAAATGTTATTATCTAATAATAAACTTTTTATTTCAGCAAGGTAATATTTTAGTATAAGTATATCCCATGTAGTATTTGGGATATACTTATGTTAAAAACAAATTTTGTTTGTTTGTTTTCATACATAAGTATTCTTTGTTACTATTTAATAAATAATGAATACTTTAATGAAGAATGAGTATTATATTATTTAACAATAGTTTGTAATGTAGTGAACATTGTAGCATGAGTATATCTCACATGAAGTTTGGGATATACTAGAAAACGAGTTCTGGGGGACAAACTGGGAACATCTATTCACAAGAGGATGATCCACAGTGGAGTGGGATCCGCCAGTCCCAGCCCTGGACTCCCCAGGGCGCCCACCTCCCCTCAGTGCCCGCCAGCGGGGCGGGGCTGACCTGTAGTCTTCACGGGTGGCAATGAGGCTGGACACGTTGCGCAGGATGCCACCGCCGCTCTCGATGATGGCCAGAGAGTTGCTCTGGCACTTGTAGGTCAGCGTGCTCACCAAGAAACCCAAGGCGCCATCCACCTGGCAGATGGCCGCCTTGTTCTCCGTGCTGTGGGCTGACAGGTTCCACAGGGCACTGAGCACGCTCTTCAGGGTGGACTCCTGGGCACAGGGCAGGAGGGGAGGCATCAGCCACCCGGTGGGGCAGAGCCATGGGCTTGATTTCCCCCGGAGTCAGAGAACTCACCACTTGCCACCAGTGTGTCCACGGCGGCTCCCCCCCCAACCACCCTGCCCACCTTGGTGGCCCGCAGGACGCACTGCACCAGGGCCGTCATGCTGCCGACCTCCCGCAGAACCTTCTTGCTGTTGATGTCGGCCCGCCAGGACAGGTTGCGCAGGATGCTGGACACCACCTGGGGTGGGGCAGGGGTGGGCATAGTGGGACCTAGGCCCCAGGGTGGCCCCTACCCCCCTGGCAGGTGGCTGGAGGGGACACCCCTGCAGGAGGATGTGGAGATTGCCTCCAGCCCTTCGTGCCCCTGGGGAGGGCCTCTGACGATTGAGACAGCAGAGGGCAGGAGCCCATGGCCCCCTAAAGGGCTATCCCAGCACCCACCCCCGCCCCAGGTACCTGGTGGAGCTCCTCGCTCTCTGAGGCCAGTTGGGCCACGATGGCCTCCATGCAGCCCCGGCGTGCACACAGCGTGGCCTTTGGGGTGACACCAGACAGTCATGATCACAGCAGGTAGGGCAGGGGGCACAAGGGAGGCCACCCCCCATTTTCCAGCACCTCCCCCCCCACCCTCTAGATCTTAGTCTACCCAGCTGTAAACCGGGCAATTTCCAGGCCGGGATGAGAAGGAGGGAGGCTCAGACCATCCCTGGAGCCCCAGATAGGGGAGCACTGACCGTGCCCACCCACTACCCCCAGGCACCTTGTTGGCGACGTCCCCAAAAGTGAGGTTGGTGAGGGTCATGCCCGCGTAGCGGCGCAGGGCTAGGTTCAGCGGGTCCCGGGTCATCTTGTGCATCTTGTAGTCAACCTGCAGTAGCTCCGCCACGGCCTGCAGCCCACCTGCGGGGACCCGGCCAGGTTGAGGGCCGGTGGGGCCAGCCCTGCCCGCTGCCCAGCACCCCCACAGCCCCACCGTCCTCTCCCCAGCCTTGTTGAGGTCATTCCCCTCCTTAGATGTCCCCTCCATCCGATCCCAACCTGCCTTCAAGTCCCCTCCAAGCCCAGGTCTGAGACCTCCAGCGCCTTATGGCCTCCATACCCGCCTCCCGGCTGCCCAGCCTTTGCACATACTGTTCCCTATGCCTGGAATACCCTTCCCTGCCCTGCTAGACGCAGTTCCCCAGGGAAGCCCCATCCCCAGGACCATTAGGTAGAGAGCTGTGTCCCCAGCATGGGGTCATGCTGAGAGGTGGCTGCCAGCCGCACGGTTCTTCACGCACCAGGAAAACCCGGTTTTCCCTTTACAAGAGTAAATGAATGTGGTGAGGTGGGGGATGGTCCCTGTGAGTGGGAGGGAGAACGTGTCACGAAAACAGCCTGCTCTGCCTGGCACTCGGCACAGATGACGGAAAAACTGGATCATCCTCTGGGCCAGGCAGGTCCGTGGAGAACCCCCTTTTGGGAAGCAGGTTGGCGACACGTCTAAAAACCTCCAAAGTGAAACATGTACACACATGTGCATAGCAGCACCATTAACAAAAGGTGGAAACACCCCAAGTGTCAAACAAGGAGTGAATAGACACACACAGTACTGTCCATCCACATGCTGGAATATCACTCAGCCGTGAAAAGGGACGAGGCTCTGACACAGGCCACAGCATGGACAGACCTTGAGGACATCGTGCTCAGTGAGAGGCCAGACACAGAGGGACACGTCCTGTGTGGTTCCACTCACAGGAGGTCCCTAGAGTCGTCAGATCCACAGAGACAGGAAGTAGGATGGTGGGTGCCAGGAGCTGGGGAGGAGGTGGGGACCTGGTATTTCACGGGGCATGGCTCTGTTATCAAATTAACTGGGCGTGGTGGCGCACGCCACTCAAGAGGCTGAGGCCGGAGGATCACTTGAGCCCAGGAGTTGGAGGCTCCAGTGAGCTGTGATGACACCACTGCACTCCAGCCTGGGTGACAGACCAAGACCCTGCCTCTAAATAAATAAATAAAGTGATAAATAATTGTCCCTGATGGCCTAGTGATTAGAATGAAAAAGACAGAGGGAGAAAAAAATTGTGACTTTGTGCATTTTCTAGAAGGGTCTCAGGAACCCCTAGGGGTCCCTGGACCCCACTTTGAGAACTGCTGTTTTATACTATAAAAGTAATGCATGTACGTGGTACACACGTTTAAGGTCAGCAGGGGATACCATGAAAGCTGAAATCCTCCTTTCCTGCTCTGTCTGGAGGGAGCTGTAGCCACGGAGTCCCACATGCTGGAACAGCAGCAGTGAGCGTGTGCGCGGGTGTATGTCACAGAAATGGGGTTCATGGAGAATTTACACGGCAGCGTAATATACCACTGCACGGAACCAGTCCCCTACTCTTAAACATCGATGTTGTTTCCAGTTTCCTGGTTGGCTGGTCGCTGCCTTCCTCATTTTTCTTTTCTTTTTTTCTTTTTTTTGCACCTTGTGGCCAGAGGATACATTCCCAGCTGGGGGAGGGCTGCTGCACAGGGCGTGTCCACTGTCACCAAACACCCATCCAGAGAAGTTGCCCCAATTGGCTCCCAACCTCAGCAGGGCTTGAGCAGAGGTTGCTGTGCCCACTGCTGCAAGACCAGACCAATGCAAGTGCAGAAAACACCTGTGTGTTCCCGCCATCCACGGAGCATGAAGTAGTATCTCACTTTGTACAAAGTAGGTACAATTGAGCACGCGGTTTTTGGCCTTTGGTGTTTCCCATTCCATGTTTCAATTGCTTTTTTTTTTTTTTTTTTTTGAGACAGAGTCTCACTGTGTTGCCCAGACTAGAGTGCTGTGGCATTAGCCTAGCTCACAGCAACCTCAAACTCCTGGGCTCAAGCAATCCTCCTGCCTCAGCCTCCTGAGTAGCTGGGACTACAGGCATGTGCCACCATGCCCGGCTAATTTTTTCTATATATTTTTAGTTGGCCAATTAATTTCTTTCTATTTATAGTAGAGATGGAGTCTTGCTCTTGCTCAGGCTGGTTTCGAACTCCTTTTTTTTGAGACACAGTCTCACTTTGCTGCCCAGGCTAGAGTGAGTGTCGTGGCATCAGCCTAGCTCACAGCAACCTCAAACTCCTGGGCTCAAGCGATCCTCCTGCCTCAGCCTCCTGAGTAGCTGTGACTACAGGCATGTGCCACCATGCCCGGGTAATTTAAGCCAATTAATTTCTTTCTATTTATAGTAGAGACAGGGTCTCGCTCTTGCTCAGGCTGGTCTCAAACTCCTGACCTTGAGCGATCCTCCCGCCTCGGTCTCCCAGAGTGCTAGGATTACAGGTGTGAGCCACCTCGCCCAGCCTCAGTTGCTCTTATACTGACCAAGGGAAGATGTCATAATGTTCCCAAACCTAAAACTGCACAAGGCCAACTCCCTCCTACCCCTAGGGTATGTCTGCCCACGCGTGCACACACACTCACACACACACACTTGCACTGCCCCAAACCACCCAGCAAAGCTGACTGTGGGTAAGTCGGATCATTTACTGTGCTGATGGCTTCCCACCCACTCCACTGTTCTGAGCCCCAGGACACCATGGCTGAAAGCCTGTCCTCAGATGAATGGGGCCTGAGTCCTTGGGCCAAATCGGGGAGCTGCATGCGGTTCATGGGGACAGAGGGCCCAGGATCACTGTCTACTCACAACAGGTGCTGTGTGATACCAGGGAGTCTCTGTCCCTCTCTGGGCCTCATTGCCCCTGGCCCCGACTGGACACACAGGTGGCCTAGGCTCAGCCCAACAGCAGCTAAGGTGTCACCAGCTGGGTAGGAGCTGGAGACAGGCTCCCCAGAGGCGGCGAGCCAGGACACTCACCTAGCTCGTTCATGGCACGGCGGTACTCCTCATCAAAGGACAGCTTCATCACCGCACAGGTGGCCTGGCAGATCTGCGGCTCGATGGGGATGGGGGCTGTGTGCGAGGGGACCGGGTCAGACCCTTCCCCAGGACACGTCCCCAGTGACCCCCAAGGTCCCCACCCACTTGCCTTCTCCCCGTCACAGGCCTGAAGGGTCCCTGGAGCTGAGCTCTGCAACCTGCTGCCCGCTGGGACCTCCTTTGACCCAATAACGAGGTGGCCTGGTGCCTGCCACCTTTCAGCTGTGCCTTATCCTCAAGAGGAAATCTCAAATTTGCACCCAACTTTCGTGAGTTACCCACAACCCATGAGTTCAGGGACCTGCACATTTGCCCTGAGCCAGGTACAACCTTGGGTGGCTCTATCTATCCTTTGCCAACGTGGCATAAGCCCTCTACCCCCATAAGGCCACGGCCAGAGCTCGCTCAGACAAGGCGGGCAGCACCGGCGGGGGCTGTAGCGAGCACTATCAATCCTGCCCACCACCGGGGAAGCCCAGGCTTTGCCCCTGCGGGGCACTCACCGCCGCCGGCGCCCCCGCCCTCGGGCCCGCCATCCGGGGCCTGCAGCCAGTCCCAGCAGGTCTCGCAGTACGCACGGATCTGCTCCAGCACGTGCAGGACGCGCATTTCCTTGCGCGCCAGGCCCTGGTCGGGCTGGGAGAAGACGATGTTGTGCAGCGTCGCATTGGCGCGCATGCGTGCATCCTTGGCGCCCGGCGCCCCTGGGGTCCCACTGCGACCCCCAGCCCCGGCCTCGGCGCCGTGCAGGATCTGCAGCAGCAGAGGCAGGCAGCCGGAGCGGCGCATGGCCACACAGCTCTCCGGTGAGCTGGACATGGCGAGCAGAGTGCGCGCAGTGTCCTCCTGGTCGCGGGTCGCCAGCATGGACAGCAGCCAGAAGACCACCTCCACCTGAGGGCGGGAGGGCAGGGTCAGGGTGGGGACCCCTGTCTTCTTACCTGCCCCCACCAGGCCCCCCCATTCACACACCTGGTGACTCCCTAAACGCGGTTGGAGCCTGTAACCCCAGCCCAAGAGGATCGCTTGTTCCCCTCACCTTGTGGGCGGCCACGCACACACCTGAGGGATGGGTGGGGTCGCCAGGGGGAGATGCTCAGCCCACGAGGGACAAACCCCACTCACTAGCCTCACGGGCATTTCTAGGGGTGGCAGTGCACATTTGGGGGTTACACAGAGATGTCTAGAGTACCCCAAACACATGGCACGGGCATCCCTGTCCACTTCGCGGAGCCCCAGCCTCCTGGCCAGCTTGACTCTGGGCGGCCCTCCTTCATGGGGAGTGGTTGGGTGGATGAAAGCGCAATGCAGCTCCACGACTGGCAGGGGTGCAGGGCCTCCCCACCCCACCCAGCCAGCCGCCCCCACCCCACCCTCACCTTGCTGTTGCCCGGCTGAGGAGTGCCGTCCTCAGGGTGTGTGGGGACCTCTGTCTCGGGTTCCTCCTCCACCGGCACCGACTTCACTGCCAATAGAGCCTGCAGGGAGAGCCCCAGGCTTGGGAGGTCAGTTCAGGGGCCCCCCACAAAGCGCCCATGCTGCTGACGCCGCCTTTCCTCCGTGACACTGGGTGATGGCTGCAGACGGCCCCGCCCCCGGTACCCTCCCCCCCCAGGGCCCTAGGGACCCCTCCTCCCCCACTGCCTGAGCGGTCACCACCCCTTGGGCCTTGCTCCAGCCCTCCCCGTACCTGGGGTTCTGTCTGCTGCACCCGGTCCTGCGCCTCCAGCAGCTCCTTGTCTATTTGCTCCAGGCGCGAAGCGCGGATCTGCCAGGGGGAAACGCGCGCCAGAGCTGAGCGCGCCCTGGGCTCTAACTCCACCTTCTCCCCGGTATGACCCCGCCCCTGGGCTCTAACTCCACCTTCTCCCGGTATGGCCCCGCCCCTGGTCTAACTCCACCTTCTCCCTGGTATGACCCCGCCTGATCTAACTCCACTTCTCCCGGTATGACCGCCTGGCTCTAACTCACTTCTCCCGTAGCCCCTGGTCTACTCCACAACTTCTCCTTATGACCCGCCCTGATCTAACTCACCTTCTCCTGTATGACCGCCCTGTCTGACTCCACTTCTCCCTGGTATTGACATTCCCTGGCTGTACTCCACTTCTCCCTGGTATGACCCGCCCTGGGCTCTGCTCCGCCTTCTTCCCTGGTATGACCCCGCCCGGGGCTCTAAACTCCGCCTTCTCCCTGGTATGGGGACCCCACCTGGGCTGTACTCCACTTTCCCATGGGTATGCCCACCCTGGGTCTACTCGACCTTCCCCTGGTTATGCCCTCGCCTGGGCTCTGACTCCACTCTCTCCCTGGTATGACCCCGACCCTGAACTCTAACTCCACCTTCTCCCTAGTATGACTCCGCCCCCAGGCTCTGACTCCTCCCACTCCCTACCATGGCTCCACCCGCCGCCTAAACCCCACCAATAACCCAAGCTCCCCAGTCAATGCGCTCCGCGCTGCTTGCCCAATACCGGCCGCCCCGCACCTGCGCCCGCTGCACCATCTCATCCGAGGTGCCAAAGCGCTCCTCCATCAGGGAGCGGATGTGCTGGGCCTCGAACTCCAGCTGCTGCCGGATCAGGTCCATCTGCATCGAGAACTGCTGGGAAAGGCGGGCGGGCCACGGTGAGGGGTGCCCGGGCCGGGGCTTCTGCGCCACCCCCGCACCCCGGGCGGCACTGCTGGCCCCTGGCCCCCTGCCGCCGGTCCCCACCGCTCACCGTCTCCACGTGCGGCAGCTCGTCCAGGCGTTTGGACAGGCCCTGGAGCTGCGAATAATACCAGAGCTTCTCCTTCTCCTCCTTCTCAATCTCACTCAACAGGAAGCACCTGGGGAGGGGACGGTCACTGTGGATGTGGTGATTGCTTTTTGCAATCACTTGGTGCTCAATGTATGCCCAGTTTAACAGGCAGCATGGCAATGTCCCCCAGTGGCGCTCCTGGCACCAGAGTAAGGGGGACGCTGAAATTGAGTAGAGCACAGGAAATGAATTTAAAGGAGAGGCCATTCGTTTGTAAATTCTGGTCCTGGGAGAAAGACTCAGACCCGGGCTGTGCTGACTCTGACTACTGTCCCACACTGGTTAATCTGCTAGCTTACACAAGTGGGATTCAGGCACAGGGTGTTCCAGGTGCAACAGAGTTCTCTCTTAACTCTCTGAGGAGACACTGGATCCCATTTTGCAGAAGTCTGAGGCTGGGGGCGTTTAGGGGAGTTAACTCCCAGGAGGCTCTGGAACTGCCTCATCTGACCCCACACAACCTGGCCGAGCAGAGCTGGGTGCCCAGACCCTGCCTCCCCCCTCGGGCCCTGGGCCCAGATTTCTTGGTCCGTGTCCCTCTCACTACAAAGGCTGCCTTGAGGCCCTCTGGCTCCAGGCCTGATTCTGGGCACAGCCCTGTCCCTAGCGACAACTGTGTGGCTAGGACCCCTGGGGACAGCCCCCTGGAGCCTTTTCCCCTGCCAGGAACAACCCTCCCCTTGTCCTCCTGTGGTGTCAGCTGGGGCGGAAGAACCCCGGGACACAGGCAGACGGGGTTCAGGGCCTGTTGGGGCCAGCTCAGTGGGGGAATCAGAGGCAGGAGGGTGCTGGGGGTAGGGCTGGTGCCCCTGGTCCGAATCCAATGCCCTCTCACCGTTCCCGGTCCAGTTCCTCCAGCAACCGGATTGTGGCCCGGCTCAGCTCCCCAAAACTGTCCTTGGATGGCCCGGAGCCGTGCACCGGGCTTCCCTCAGGGCTCCGGGTGGGGGGCTCTGGGTCCAGGGCAGGCGGCTGGAACTTGAGGTTGTACAGGCTGGTGATGTCCATCTGCAGGGCTGTGTGGGCACAGAGGGCAAGGGTGGAGGTCAGTGCCCATGCCCGCCCCCTTGTGCCCCTCCCACTGAGGGTGAGCCCCTGGCCAGCCCCTCACCTTTCAGCTGCTCCAACACCTCCGTCTGCCCCGAGGACACCAGCACTCGGGCTTCCTGCTCCAGCTTGCCCTGCAAGTGCTTCAGGACCTCCTGCAGGCAGGACGGGAAAGAGATCGCTGCTGGGGGCTGCCTGGGACCCCCCCACCCTGTGACCATGGGCCACGTCTTACCCCCAGATCCCCACCTTCATGCCAGAGGTCTCCGTCTCCAGCTTGGACAGGTGGCTCGAGTTGTCTCGAAGCTCCTGCCTCAGGTGACTGTTCTCGGCCTTCAAAGCCTCCACCTGCCGCACCAGCTGCTCGTAGGATGCCACAGAACTCGTCATCTTCAGTTCCTGCAGTGCCTGAGGCCACGGGGTGACAAGGTTCAGCTGAAGGTCTGAGGACAAGGCAAGGGACACCTTCCAGATAGTCCCAAACCTAGGCCCCAGCCCTGCCACCCGGGTCTGGGGGTGGGTCCCAGGTGGGAGTGGCTGGCGTGGACCACTACAGGCAGGGCAATGCTGGCCCAGGGAATCCGGGGCACAGACGGCATGGCAGATGGAGTGAGAGATGCGGGTAGCCACAACAGGAGACAAAGTGGCCAAGCCGTCGCACGGGCGTTCAGACACACGGATAGCCGAACGTCCAACTAACCGGCACACAGGTCTGTCCCTCATTCCCAGGACTCATGTGCTGACCACTAGTTGGACAGACAGACGGACCACTGAGGCAGTCTGCCCGATGCCCCCAGGCTCACAGACACACTCACAGCCAGAAAGGGCGACAGACAGAAAAGACTCCCCCCAGGCTGACAGCCAGAGAGGCTGGGTGGATGGACCCCTAGGTGGACAACAAGGACACCGTGAAGGCCAACAGTGACATCTGGGGGAGCCCCTGGCAGCCAGACAGCAGGACAGATGGACCTCAGCCCACCAGGACCACCCCAGACATCCGAGATCCGGACCTCTGCAGCCCCACGCCCCCACCATCAGGGGCTGAGTCCCGAGCAGCTACCTGGTGAGGCCCGGCACCCTCTGGTCAGCCTCCGGCCAGTGCGCGCTGGCCTGGCGCCCCCCACCCCATCCCCTCGGCTCTGCTGCCAGCGGCCGCCCGCTGCCTCTTTGTGCCTGTGCCGTCTCCTCTCCCGGCCCAGCCTCCTCCCTCTGTCCGCTGGCCGGTGCCTCCTCTCTGGGCTCCGCTCTCCCAGGGCCCCCCCACAACCCCCGAGGCCACCCTTCCCTCTTTGTTCCCTTCCCACCAGCCTCCCCCTCCCTCCGCCTTTGTCTGAGGCGAGCCAATGGCAGCCCATCCCCTCCGACACCTCCTCCCTGGGAGCCCCCTCCCCAAATCAGCCCTGCCCTGCCCCCACCCCACCTGGCCACAAACATTCACTCACTTGCTCATTCATTCTCCTCTCCCTCCTAGCTCCTACCCACCCCGATGTCACCAAATGCACAAATGGGAGGGGAGCCAGGATAGGGGGTGTCAGGCAACCTCCTCGGAGGACCTACTGTGTGCCTGGCAGTGTCACCTGGCTTCTTCCCTGTCACAGTCCTGAGTCTCAGGGACCATTGTTAGGCTGTTCCCAAGAAAGAAACTGAGGCCTGGGGGGACAGACCCAGTAAGGAGGTGGACAAGGCATGACTAGAGCCCAGACCTTGCCCCCAGAGCTGCTCAGAAGTCCATGCAGTGCTGGGGACACGATGAGACCCGCCCCCTCCTGGCCTCGGCTCACTGTCTGATGTGTGGGGAGAGCGTGGCGGGCCTGGCGGGCTGCAGAGCTGGTGAGGGTCAGGTGGGATGGTCACAGGGCACAGGACAGAATTGGCAGGCGTGTCAGGTGGGGAGGCTGGCAGCCTGGGGGGATCCTGGGGTCTGGCTGAAGCCCTGTGTTCTGGCTAAGGCCAACATACCGTGCCCAGCCAGGCGGAAGGACCAGATGAAGTGCAAACCAACACACACACCCTCCTTCCCCTCCAGCTGCCGTCGCGTCACCCAGGCCAAGCCTTGGTCCCCTTCATTCTCCCCTGTTTGGTGGTCACTCCTGTGTCCTCTCAGGGTGTGCTCTGCAGCACAACCACCCACTGGGCTCCCCACCAACGCGTCCACCTTGCCACACTCCCACCAGCCCTCCACACTGCCCAGCTGGGCCACCCTCCCCCACCTCCTGACACCCCTCCTTCAGGGCACTCTCACCAGCCTCTTCCAGGCCAAATCTGCTCCTCCTGCTAGCCAGAGGCAGCTTGGAAAGTTGCAAGTTGGACCCCATCCCTCCCATGCTCACATACCGCGGCCCATGGCTCCCCAGTGACCTCAGGGTAGGATCGGACTCCTCCACACACATCCCGACTCATTGGAAACTGGCTGCTGTCTCCTCTCCAGCCTTTGCACACGCAGTTCCCCTGCCTAGAGCAGGTTCCCGGACTCCTGCCATCCTGCACAATGCACCTTCCTCCAGGAAGCCCTCCTACCTGCCCCTCACCTCAGGTTGCCTCTCTGAGAGATCACCACAGGGGAAAGGACCAGTAGCCCCAGGGTCAGCCTTATCGGGTGGTGAGTGGCCACATGTTGGGGGAGGGAGACACCGGTGTGGAACACCAGCCCCAAAGGGGCCCTTGTCATGCCATCAACCACAATCTCTGCTTACAGAGGCAGAAACCGATGCCCTGAGAGGCGCAACAGCGCGCCACCCGGGCGCATGGCCGCAGCCTGGCCCACCCCTCGCCTCCCAGTATCTCTGAGTGTTGAAGCCCGTGAGTGGGTGTGCGCGGGACCCACTAGAGCCCCCCTCCTTGGGACTCAGTTCCCCCTCCAGCTCCCACTGTAGAGAAACAGGTCCCAGAGGCTGTGCTGACAGGAGAGGTAGGGAGAAGACGATGGAGACCCCGACGCGAGGTGGAGGCCGCGCCCCCTGCCCTCCACCCGGAGCGCGCAGCTTACTTGCAGCTGGGCTGGCTGGGGCCTCCTCCCACCCCGCAGCTCAGCGGGCCTCGCCCGAAATCCCGGCGCGGGGCGGGTGCGGAGCGCGGGCTCCGGGGCTCCGGGGTCTCCGCGGCGCGGGCAGGGGCCTCCGGGGCGGACAAAGCCCGGTCCGGGCCTGGCCAGGCAGCGCCGCCGCTCCGGGCTCTGGGCGAGACCACCGCGCGCGGGGGAGGATGCGGGATGCGGGATGCGGGCGCGGCGGCCAATGGCGGCGCGGGAAGACGGGCTGGTACCATGGCAACAGCCAATGGCGGCCCAGGGCGGGGACCAGCGCCAGCCGCCGGGCGTTGGGCCCCCGCGCGGGCTGGGGGGCTGCGTGCGCCGGGGGTGAACCCCACGAAGGGCAGGGGGCGACCCGAGGAGCAGTCGCCTGTGCCCCTCACACTGTTGCAGCAGGAAACCGCCTCTTAGAGCCCCCGCATCTGGGTTCGCAGCATCCCAGGGTGAAACACCTATCCGTGGATGTTACATCATAATCTTGGCGGTGGTTGGGGGTGCATCCCAGGGAAGGATCCGGGGCCAGGCCAGCCCCCTCCCCGCAGATCCGGCCTGCGCAGTCAGTGCAGGACAGGGGTCCAGGCTGGAGCTCCCCAGGGTCCTGGCTGGCAGGGGGAGGGGGAGGGGCGGGCACACAGGGTAACACCTGCGACCCTGCACCTTCCCCCATTTCTTCCTGTCTCCTCGCAGAGCCTCAGGTCCTCCTGTAACTCTGGTCCCTCCCCACATCTCTCCCTTCCTCTTTCTGTCTCCTCCTCAATCTGTGTTCCCCTGTGTCACTGTCCCTAATCCCACACTTAATTCACCCTCACAGAAGGGAAGTCAGAGCAAGGGGGCCCTGCAGTACGTCCCAGATCCTCAGTGGGTCCCCGGAGGCCATTTGAGGGCCAGCACTTGAAGCTTGGGAGCAGCCCTCCAAGCTCGCAGGAGACAAGGAGCCAGGGCGAATCATGCACCGTGCAACCTTCAGTTTCCTCTTCTGTGAAATGGGGAGGAGGTTGGAGCTTTTGCAAATGCTGGTTCAGGGAATGATGGGACAGGTTGGGAAGTTCTGGGTTCTGGGAGGCCCCACAGCCAAGGGCACAGGAGGAACAATGTTAGTCTGGAGCCGGAGGCCCTGAGTGCCCTGTCCTGGGCCAGCAGTGCCAAGGCCAAGAGCCCCAGGCCTGGCCATCTGGAAGCTTCCAGAGCTGAGCACAGCTGTCTCAGCTTGCTGGGTTTAGGGGGTGTGTGCAACTGGCAGAGGGGCTTTTCCAGGAGGCCAGGCAGGAGTTGGCCAAGTGGCCAAGGAGGGAAAAGAGGCCCAGGCTGAGGGAAGATCAGTGCTCGCTCGGGGACAGTGGGTATCTGGAGCCATGGGGCAGAGCAGGTGGCAGGCTTCACCTGGGCAGGCCAGGAAGGGTGGAGCACAAGGACAGTCCCCTATGGGCTCATGAGGAGACTGGGGCAGGGCTGGGCAAGGCTAGAATTCGTGGGGCCGTACGGAGCCTGGGCCCCTGGCTTCAGCTCTGTTCTCCATCCCTGTGTCCCATCGGGCACATGTCTCTGGCCTCGGCTTCCAGTTTTGTTCACTGGGGAGATAATCCCTCCCTCCCCTTCCAAGGAAACTAAGTTCCATCTCCCCTGTGCAGTCTCAGATGGCCCAGCTCCCCAGGCAGGGCTTTGGGGAAGCCACTGGTCAGTCCTGTCCTTGTATATATGGGGAAACTGAGGCTCAGAACAGGGAGCTTGTTGTTGCTTGAGTCTGGCCGGGAGCCCCGGCCAGGCCACTGGAGCATCTCTGGGCCTCCTTCCCTGACCCTCTGGGTGTGTTCAGGGCCTGGAAGGCTGGGGTGGGGGCAAAGGATCTGAGACCCTGAGACAAGATGCCTTCTGCCCTAAGCCTCTGGAACATCAAGTCCCTGACAGTCCCCGCACCAAATCCTAGACCCTGTAACTCCTTGGACACAGCCAGTCTCAGCCATCACTGGACATTTCAGAAGCACAAAAACCTCAGGAACTCCTACAGCCGCCCGCCCCCTCCCCCGGGTCTCAGTCCACTTCCAGGAGCTGAGACAACCCCACTCCCCCATTGCACAGTGCGGGGTCTCAGCCCTGGGCACTCTCCCAGACTCCCTCCATGTCCCCTGCTGCTACTGGGTTGAGGGCTAAGTCCATTAAGGGGCTCGTGTCTCCCCACCCTCACTCTGTGACCCTTCTGCCCAAGCACACAGCCTGGCACAGGGCTCACCCCAGAGTATCTTTGGGCCTTCTGAGTCCGACCTCGGGCTGTCCCTGCCCCCTGATGCACCACCCTTCCCCCCGAGTCTCCTCTGTGCCAGGAGCTGAGGCTGCAAACGGGAACCCCTTCTAGCTGGGTAGGGGCAGAGCAAAGCACCAAGGCACTAGGTCAGCAGGGGAAGACAGAGACTGGGCAGCGGGCTGGGTGACCCCACTCACAAGCCCTGGCAGGTGAGGAGAACTTGGAGGTGGGGGAGGGGTGGGGCAGGCTAGTGCAGGCCGCGCCCTGCAGCCCAACTACAGCTCCGGGCCTCAGTTTCCCCGGGCAGCGAGCAGGGAGACGTATAGCCCTGTCAGCACCGTGGACAGCTCCCCTGGTCCCCGTGCGCGTCCTCTGCAGGCGCCTCTGCTCCGCAATCAGGCTCTGGCCCAGATGGAGGCGTGACCTTGGGCTCTGCTGCACCCTCCAGCCTCAGTTTCCCCTTCAACGGGGGATGTTATAGCCCCAGGATTCAGAACGGTTAGAGACCGGCGAAGCGATGGGGTCGGGTGGGGGTGGATATTATAAATAGCAGCGCAGGTGAACGTCAAAGTAGGCCCTACGCTCCATACCCAGAAAGAGAAACTGAGGCCCAAAGAGGCGCAGGGCGTGGCTCAGCGCCTCCACCATGCGCAGGGCGGAGCCTCTGGACAGCGCCCCCCCGCTCGCCGCCTGTCCCCGGCACCAGTCTACCAGTCTGCGCAAAGAGAAGGGGTCCCCGGGTCTCCCTAGGAGGCGGAGGGCTGGGCTGGGAGAGGCTTGCGCTTGCGCAGACCGGGGTGGGGGGCGCTGAGGCTCCAGGAAGGGGCTCCCAGCCGGGTGAACATCTCGAGGCTGTTTCCCTGGCAACTGTCTCCACGGTAACTGCACTAGACCCCCGACTCATCAAGTCTCACTGCGCTTGCCAGTGCGCCCCCCGCCGGAACCGCGTTCCCACGGTTGGAACGGGCCGGGGCTGCGCCCAGGCCAGAGCCCATCCCGCTGCAGGATCCCCGCGCCCTACCTGGTCCCCGAAGAAGGCCGAGTGCAGCAGGCTAAGCAGCCCGAGGAGCCCCATGAAGCCGCGGCCGCCCGGACCGGCCTGCGCCGCGCCCCTCAGCCGCGGTGGGGGCGGGGGCCGCGGCTGGGGATGCCTGCGCCTGCGCGGAGGGGGGTGGGGAGGGTCACACCGTGGGGCCGGGGCGGGGCTCCCCGGAAAGGGGGCGGAGGAGGAGTCCCAAGGGGTCGGGGTGGGGCAGGACTCCGAGAACTGGAGATGCGGGCAGAGGGGTGAGGGGCGGGCCTTGGCCGGCTGCAAGTTCCGACCAGGCTGGAGTTGGGGTCCTGCGAGGCAGAGCGAGGCGGGGCCTCGCATGTAGGTTGGGGGACCCCAGGGGTGCAGAAGGGTCCCACGGGAATGGAGATCTCGGAGGGACAGAGGCGGGCGTCGCCCTGCGGCTTAATCCGCTGCCCGCCCTGGCAGGGCGCCCAAGTTCATTAGTCATTCAGCAAACATTCGCTGCACACCACTTGCCAGGCTGAGCTGGGCGCTGGGCATGGAGGGGCCGCCCTGCGGGGGCAGTACCACACGTAGTCATTGAACAAACACTAAGCACCTACGGTGTGCTGGTCCCTGTGCAATAAAACACTCAAAACCCTTGTCCTTGGGAAACTGACATAAAGCAGAGGCGGAGCATGGGGGGAGCGTCCAGGGAGGAGCAGGGCGCAATGGGGAGGGGTGGTGTGAAGGCGGGAAGGGCCCTGGGGTCGGTGGGAGCCATAGAAGGCTGTAGGCAGAGCTGGGACGCCCCAACCAAGTGCTCACAGACGCCCTCTAGCAGCTGCGGGGAGAACAGACCGTGGGCAGCGCCTGGAGACCAAGGCAGAGGTGACTGCGCAGATCAGGGCCAGCTGATCAGGGTGCCCCCGCGGGGTGTGTGTGTGTGTATTAGTGTGACCTGGGGAGGCAGAGGACCAGTGGGCCAGGCCAGAAAGGGGATGGCGAGGACAGGACAGGCCCTCACCAACTGGTACCTCGGAGGGACCTGGCAAGGCTGGAGGTGGAGTGGAGGGATGGGGTGGGCAGGCTGGTCCGTGGGGGGCACGTCTGTGTTTAATAAATTGCCATCCAGGCGGGAGACAGAGGGAGCCTGGCCAGGCTGGTAGCAGCAGTCTGCGGCGAGAAGGGGCCTGATCCAGGACAGTGGGTATGGGACCTGAGCCCCGAGTTGCCTGACCAGAAGGTATGATGGGGCCGGGCAGGTCTGGAAGTCCACTGTGCCCTCACCCAGGGGGGTGGGAGCAGAGGAGCAGAACACAGGCGTGATGAGGCCGGTGAGGTCCGAAAACAGAGCCCAGCCTTGGCCTTGAGTCCAGAGACGGGCTGGGTAGTGAGACACATGGGGTTGGTCTCAAAGGCTCCCACCCCTCCCCCAGTAAGCCATGAAACTGCTCCTGGAAGGAGGGGCCCACCTGTCTGCTGGGGCGGCCTGAGCTGGCCCCAGGACATCCTATCCCCAACATGGATATTTCACTTGAAATACTAACATATTTCCCCTGATCATACATAATTGATTCAAACTGCAGAAAGCTAAAGTAACAATCCCTTGGCCACCCCTGCCCTGAGCAGGGGACACGTGGTGACCAGTTGGAACATGTCCAGTGAAGGCTGGAAAGGTAACTCATGACCCGCAGGGTCCCTAGGAGCGATCTTATAGACAAGACACTTCTGGGCAGGACAGTAAATATGTTCACGAGTGTCTGCGCCTCCTGGTGTGACAGCACACAGATGAAAGATGCTGCCAACGAAACCTTCCGCACACGGCCCAGGCGAAGGCCGCAGCAGGCAGCGCGCTCCCACCTCACTCTCGGCCCGTTCCCAGTTTGCCGACTCCACCCACCACGGTGCTGCAGTCCGCACACACGCACAAACGCGTATCTTGCTCCTGTAGGTGGACCTGGTGGCTCAAAAGGTCCAGCCATTTCCTTTTTCTAGAGACGTCCTGCCCAGCCTGGGTTCTCACTCCTGGGCTCAGCGATCCTCTCGCCTCCTGAAGTGCAGAGACAGATCAGCCAGCGAGCGCACCCAGCTCTTCCACGTGTTTTGCTGCATATTTTTGGTTTCTCAAAAAATACAAAACGACAGGTAGGGATGTGAAAGGGTGCAGCCGCTGTGGACAAATTTTTATAGTTGGGTTGGGCGTGGTGGTGGCACCTGTAATCCCAGCACTTTGGGAGGCCGAGGCAGGAGGATGGCATGAACCCAGGAGTTTGAAATTGATGATGCCACTGCACTCTAGCTCGAAACTCATCTCAAAAAAAAAATTTTTACAGTTGGTCTTAAGCCCAATCAGGTTCAAGGACAGCCCAGAAAAGAACTTTGATTTTATATATATATATACACATATAAAATACTTCAGCATTGATCACCCACACGCCCAAGTCAGCAGGCTCTGGGCTCTTTACTTCCAGGCAGGGGTTCCCCAGGCCTGGAGCCCCAGGAGTACCTAGTTCACTCCAGAGCCCCGTGCTTGGCCCTCTGGTCTAGGGGCACTCTGCATTAACCAGGCCATCAGACACTCCCTGATCGCGTCTGTCCACTGTGGTCCCTCTGCTGAACTGGACCAAGTTACTAACCTCAGCCGAGCCTGCCTTCCTTCCACTCCATCAACCTGCTTCCCACCCAGAGATTAGAGACACGGTGACCCCTGCTTTTTCTCTGCAACCTTCGATTTCAATCAAGATATAACGGCATTAACGAATGATGCTGAAATGTGGAGAAGCGTCGTAGAGAAAAGACCTCACGGACAGGGGTGGGGTGTGGGCTCTCAGCCCGTCTCCTCCTGACCCCCCCCCCTTCTGCCTCACTGCTGCTCCCACCCCAGCCACACTCTCTGGGGGACCTGCCTGAGGTGTAGCACCTAACAGCCCACCTGGACTGTTCCACTGGACACTAAGTAGGCACCAAAGCTAATGTCTCCCTGTCCCCTCATTCCACCTCCATGGATAGCAACTCCAACCTTTCACTTGCTCAGACCCAGACCTGGGCTTCCCTGCCATGTTCCCCTATCTGGGAGCCCCAACACAGCCCGGACACCTGCTCAGCTCCTGTCCAAAGGCACTGCCACCTCTGCTTGTTCTTTCAAGCACCCTGTAGCTTCCACTTATGAAGGGGACAGATCCACTCAGCAGTGTGTCAGGGAGCATAGCTGGGGCCCTTCAGCGCTGTGCTGACAGGGACAATGCCCCCACCACTGGACACATGCTGTCCTGGGAGATGAGGCCCAGGAAGTCTCAACCCAAGGCTGGGGGGACAGGGGCCAGCTGGAGCCTCCCAGGAGCTTGTAGGAGCACAGAGGCCCCCGAGGAGAGGAACAGAGCAGCTCGGTGCCAGGACACTCAGAGGCCCCCGGGCATGTGCACACAGCTGCGAGGGGCACAGGCTCAGGTCACCCAAAGGTTCCAGCAGCTCACATGCCCCCCCCCCCCCGTGGGAAGAACCCGAAACTGGAGCCTGAGGGCCACCAGGAGGGCAGGGCCTGGAGGGGTGACACTGCCTGGCACTTCCACACAGCCCCAGACTGTGCACCAGGCCCCTCCTAAAAGGCATAATGAACACGCCCACCCCAGACGCTCTGAAGGACAGGTCACTCGGGACTAGAGAAGTGTCTTTATTGGCTGAGCAGGCTACTTGAGGGGGATGAAGCGCGAGGAGTGGGTGGCGCCGATGCCAGGCCGGCCGTGCTTCACCGGCTTGTAGGTGATGGAGAACTCCCCCAGGTAGTGGCCAATCATCTCGGGCTGTGAGAGGCCAAGAGCAGAGGTGGGTGTCAGGTGACCACAGGTGGACAGGTAACACACCCGCCCCAGGCCCAGTACCATTTTCAGGGACAGGCCGCACGCACCTTGATCTCCACCTGGTTGAAGGTCTTGCCATTGTAGACGCCCACCATGCTGCCCACCATCTCGGGCAGGATGATCATGTCCCGCAGGTGTGTCTTCACCACCTCGGGCTTCTCCATGGGTGGCGCCTCCTTCTTGGCCTTGCGCAGGCGCTTCAACAGCGAGTGCTGCTTGCGGCGCAGGCCCCGGTTCAGCCGCCGCCGCTGGCGCGCACTGTACAGTTGCATCAGCTGCTCACTGGAGAGGAGGGGCAAGGTGGAGGGACTAAATCCTGAGACCCCCCATCCTGCCCTGAGTCCTGCAGGGAACATGCCTAGGGCAGGGTCACACTGACAACACCCCCTACCTAGGGATGAACCCTTCAAATACAAAAAACAACACGTAACTGTTCACAGACTAAAAATAAGGAGGGCCTGCAATCCCAGCATTTGGGGAGGCTGAGACAAGAGGATCACTAGAGCCAAGGGGTTCAGATCAACCTGGACAACACAGCGAGACCCCACCTCTGCAAAAATAGAAAAAATCAGAGTGTGGTGGAGTACATCTACAGACCCAGCTACTTGCTGGCCGGGCGTGGTGGCTCACGCCTGTAATCCTAGCTCTCTGGGAGGCTGAGGCGGGCGGATCGCTCAAGATCAGGAGTTTGAAACCAGCCTGAGCAAGAGAGACCCCGTCTCTACTATAAACAGAAATAAATTAATTGGCCAAATATATACAGAAAAAATTAGCCAGGCATGGTGGCGCATGCCTGTAGTCCCAGCTACCCGGGAGGCTGACGCCACAGGATTGCTTAAGCCCAGGAGTTTGAGGTTGCTGTGAGCTAGGCTGACGCCACGGCACTCACTCTAGCCTGGGCAACAAAGCGAGACTGTCTCAAAAAAAAAAAAAAAAAAAAAAAATCCAAGTGAGGGTGCGACTGAAGAAACCCCAGCCAGGGAGCAGGCTCCTCCGTACCAGGTACCCCGCAGGCGTCACAAGCCTCCCTCCCCCCTGCACCTGGGGCAGACCACCACCACTCCGCCGCCTGGAGAGCCCACGGCGCCCTCCAACTCCTACCCGTGGCCCGTTGTTAGGACACGTGGGCCTCATGCACCGTTTACACTTCCAACCCGCTGGAAAAGAGCCCAGTGTAGATACGTCGGGGTTAACCGCGCTCACCCCACCGCGGCAGCGTCGCGCAGGGACGGGCTGGCCCGGGACGCCGAGGACACTGCCCGGGGACCCTGGCCCGTAACGCTCCCCGCCCAGCCCGGCCTTACTAGGACATATCCAGCAGCTGGTCCAGGTCCACGCCGCGGTAGGTGAACTTGCGGAAGGTCCGCTTCTTCTTCTGCTCCACTTCCGCCTGCGTGAGCCAGGGGTCAGCCGGAGCCCGACACCCCCCTCCCGCGGCCGCACAGCGAGGTCCCAGGGGCCGAGGTCCTCACGGGGACGCCGCGCCTCGAGACCTTCCGAGGAGGCGCGCACGCTCCAGGCTTTGGGAGCCCGTCCGGCCTCCCCCGCCCCGCGGCGTCCTGACACCCAGCGGGCCCGCCCTCGCCCCCATCCCGCAGCCCCGGAGCCTAGGAGCGGGCCGCCACAGCCGCGGGGCCCGATCCGGGCCCCCACGGTGTGGCCAGGTCTCGGATGGAGCCGGATAGGCCCGGCCGCGAAACACAAAGTTCAGCACTCACCATCTTGCCGGATCTTCAGAAAGGACCGCCCCTGCCTGCGCTGCGCAATTATCGCGAGACCAATGACGTGCCCCGCCCCTCGGCCGTGCGCGCGCTCGCGTTTCCGTCTCTGTTGCTGCGGACACACGCCCCCTGCGGTCCGGAGGGCAGAACACAGGCCGCAGTGACCAAAGGGACAGCCCAGGGTCTGCGGAGCCCTGGCCACCAGGGAAGGCCCTTGGGACGTGTTGCTGCTCTTTTCTGGGCCTCGGGCTTGTGCTGTGCCCTACACGATGGCACCCTCCTCAACAAGCACTTATGGAGCGCCTACTGTTTGCAAGCAGGTGTGGTTTAGGGGTTCGGGCACCAGTGGTGGAGGCACATGGACACACAAGGAGCAAGGCTGCTTACAGATGTTGGGGCACCAGGGAGAGGGAACACTGGCCAGGTTTTAAGGGACATAAAGTCAGCAGCTGGGCCTGGAACATACGCAGATGTGCGAGTGCAACCCGTCGCTCACATAGGGGACCAGGTCCTGAGAGTGACGTCTCTGTGTCTGTATCTCGCTGGCACTAAGCATAAGTCTGAGGGTGACCCAGCAGTCTCACTTCTGGGCTCATGCCCAAAAGGACGGGGAGCACAGGTACATGCAAACCCATGCTCACAGCAACGCTATCACAGGGGACGGAAGGTGGACACAACCCAGCGTGTACCCACACTGAGCGGACACAGAACATGGTCCATCCACACAGTACTCAGCCTGACACAGGCTGCAGTGTGGATGGACCTTGAGGACATCGTACCCAGTGACAGATGCCAGACACAGAAGGACAAGTTCTGTGTGGTTCCACTCACAGGGGTCCCTGGAGTCCTCAGATCCAGACAGGAAGTAGGATGGCGGTGCCAGGGGCTGGGGAGGGGGTGGGGAGTGTCTTGCAGGGATGGAGGTGGTGATGGTTGCACAATGTGAATGTGCTTTAGCCACTGAATCATACACTTAAAAACGGTGAAGTTGATGTGTATCTTACCATAATTTTAAAAAATAGAGAACAAGCACTAAAAAAAATTACTCAAAAAAATAAAGAATATTATTTAATGCAAAAGAAAACATAACAGAGGATTACAGGTAAAAGTCGGGCAACTCACAGAAAGCAAAATGGGGCACGGCAGATGAGAACTGAGGTACAGCTGATAACAGAACACACCTGCGACGGTGGGCCCATAAGATTATACTACTATATTTTTGCTGTGCCTTTTCTGTGTTTAGATAGGTTTAGAGACACACACACTTACCGTTGTGTCACAGTTGCCTGCACTATTCAGTAGGGACGGCAGGGTGCACAGCAGGGCCTGGGTCTGGATGAGTACCGTGACATCTGCACCATGAAATCACCGAGGCCGTTCGCAGAACGTATCCCCCGTTCCTAAGCAACACCTGGCTGTTTGTTAGCAGTGACATCAGAGGGGTGAGAGGCCCTCAGTTCTGCTAGAGGGACCAGTGCAAAGGCCAGGAGGCCCGATTACCTGGGAGCTGCTGAAACAAAGGCCTGTGCTCCTACCTCTCATTCTGCTGTGCCTCAGCTTCCCTACCTGGGACTGTCTGCTGTACATGGTGGGACTCTAATGTTTAGGGGCAAGTCAAAGAGAAGCAAATGCCCAGGGCAGGGGACAAGGAATTGAGGGAGTCCAAGCCCCACCTGTAGTCAGAGGATCCTCAGGGTAGGTGGAGGACGTGGCTCCAGATCGTGGCTCAAAAGCTTTCAGTTTATGCGTACCTTCCCAGAACCTGGTGGGGACGGTCAGGCCCTGAGCTTAGCTGTGGTGCTGAGGACAGCCAGGGGCAGTCAAGAGACAAGGAAGCTGAGCCATCTTCAGTTGTGCTCACAGTCCCAGGGGAAGCCAATCAAACTCTGCCCAAAAGTGGGCAGACTCTCCCTGTCCCTGAGGAGCACAAGGACCTGTAGGCGTTGTGGTGTTGCCCACCAGGTGTCTGCCCATTTTCACGTAACAAACACCATCCCGGGCGCTCCCAGGTTAGCTGAAAACCTGTGAATTTTTTCATGATGCTTCTTTGCCAGGGGAATTCATTTTGCAGAGAATCGACCTCATGACTGGGAGTTCTGAGGGCTATGATTCCGTGGTGTGGAGAGGGCCCCTCCCGCCTGACCCCCACGCCTCTGTAACCCGGGGCAGCAGCAGCTCTGGAGGAGATGGCAAAGAGCTCTGAGAACAGAGCGCAGGGCTGGTTGTGTGGCCAAGCCCAAGGTGCATGTGGGGGCCATGAGTCTTCTTGGTTGTCTCTGAGCTGGGTCAACCCTTCTCTGCCTCAGAGTGAGCTGGGGACGGGGTTTCTGACAGTCTCGTTCGCTACCCGCCAAGCCATCCTACCTGATTCCAAGAACCTGTGGGTGTCACCTTCTGTAGCTAAATGTGACTAAGAGGCTTGAGATGGGAGAGGGCCACCGAGCCAGGAACCTGCACTATAGCCGCACTCCCACCCTTAGGCACTGGAACAGGTGGGTGGGACAGCCCGGAAGCCCATATTCCCAGAGACAAGTGCCAACGGGCACCCTAAAATTCACATCTGCCAGAACCCCAAGACACACTGGGGGCAGGCCCTGGCACCCCAATCAGGCTGCTGCCTTGGGTGACAACTCCAGGAGAGCCCCCGGAGAACTGCGACCACGAAGAGCAGAGGCCAGAGCGAGGGCATGTCTGGGTTCCAGACCTTTCCCAGGCCCAGGAAGCGTAAGCTCCAGCTGAGACGGAGGGAAGACACAGACACAACGTGGGTTTCTAATCCAAACGCACTTCTCTTTATTCAAACCAGGGTCAAAGTGGTCAATGGGAATTGCCCTGAAGCCACGTGCCCGAGGGAGATCGCTTCCAACAAGGCTGCTGCCTTGGCACCGCGTTGTTCTCGCGGCCGGCTGTGCGCAACCCCCACAGTGCACCTGCAAACACTACCAGGCAGGTCAGTCGACAAAAGCAAAGAATTAAACAAAAAACAAAAACACACTCAGTAGATTTCTTCTTTAAGCTCCCAGAGTTTCTGGACTAACGAGTCCCAACCCCCTAAGCCAGGAGTGAGGGGATTAAAAACATGCCCCACTTCCACCAGTGCCGACGGAAACCCTGTTTTAAATTAAAAAATAAGCCAGTATACATCGTAGAAAATTTCTCTTAAAAATCTCACAATTTGTAAATGTATATTTTTTCTTTAACATAAAAGTTACAATATACGGTAAAACAAAAGGCTCAGGAAAATAATTTCAAAAAAAAGGAAGAAAAAGAAACCTGAAGTTTTGAATTAAAGCTGAAGACATTTTTTTTAAACCCTGTTGTTGAACCAGTGACTTTTTTTTATTGTGCTGATGGGTTAGAGAAAGAAATATATTTAAAAACCTCAGTCCAGACACCCACAGCCGCCTCCAAAAGCCTCGCGCCCCTCCCCCCTCCCCCAAGGTTGAGTCGCTACTTTTCCGCCAAGTTTGTGATTGTCACAAGTTCACAAGTTTCGAATCCTGGGTCTCAGCCGTGCAGACGTCCACGCGCTGCAGGCTAGCGTCGGTAGGGGTGGAATCCTTGCACATTATGGTTCTGACCTCGTCCAAAACCACTGCCACCAGCGGGGGGCCCCCCAGACCCTGGCACCGAGGGGCCCCCGTAGGAGGGGGGCTGCTGGCTGGGGTCCGAGAAGCCCTGTCCAAAGCCACTCAAGTCCTGCCCGTAACCTGCTGGGGGAGAGAGTTCAGTGAGCTCCGAGCAGGTGGTAGTCCCCAAGCAGCAGCCCCACATGGTGGGCACCGACCTCTGAGCAGTTGGGCCATTTGTTGTCCCGCCTCAGAGTCCTCACTCCCACGGGGTGGGGGGATAGGGGGGGTGGCGGGTGGGCCAGCCAAGTGCCCTGCAACGGCCAGGCACCTACTGCCTTTCCCAGGGAAATGAGCTCAGGGAGTTTTTGTCCCTGCCAAAGCCACATGAGCAGGACCCACACAGGAGCAGCTCATGGACCAGCCCAGGCAGGCCAAGGGCATCCAGACAGTTGGCTCTCACATGGAATGTACCACTCCCAGGCTCTGAGAAAACCCCACCAGCCCTTGCTTCGGGGCACAGCCCTGACCTTCCCTCCTTCACCACTGCTCTGGGGCCCCACACTGGTCCCCCTGCAGGGGCATGTCCACTGACAGGCATGTGGGGAACCAGGCCTTTGGGCCCAACCCAACTTCCCTATGGCTCCCTCAGCAGAGGGGCCACCCAGCCCTGCACAGTTAGTCTGTTCCCACCGCTGACCTCAGTGGCATGGGAGGTGCTTCTGGCCATGTGGACAGCACTGTCCTCAGATGGAGACGGCCCTGGCTCCTGCCCACTGAATGCACACACTTTGGAGGAAGCCCCATCCTAGGCCCTTGGGGTTCCCAGTCAGGATGTACATGGGTATAGGTGGGCCCGCTGGAGGCTTGTGGCCAGTCAAGATCCTGGCACCAGTAAGGGCCCCTGCCCACAGAGCACCCCCGGAGTCTACCCCAACTCGGGACGGTGGAAGACACTTTGTCCGCTTTCTGGTACAGGCAGGCGGGAGGGCGGTGGCAGCTGCAGAACCTGCAGAGGCGGCATCACTGCGTAGCCTGCCCACGAGGTGTAAACAAACCATCGGCCAGAGCCCAGTGGGTCTGGAGAACAGGGACCGAGGTCCCGCCAGACACGAGACCAAAGCGACTAACCCTAAGCAGCAATGACAGAAAGCAGCGGGCAGATGTATACACCCTGCACGGGCGCTTCAGCACCCCTGCCAGCTGGACAGGTCAGGGCTTTGCAGGGGGACAAGAACCAATGTGCACAGTGACCCAGGCTGGGCTTGGGTGAGGGCCTGGGGAACCTGGGTGGTGTGTTGGCTGACGGGCACGGATGCCTCAGGTGAACAGTTCCAACAACCAAGGCCAGATGACCTCCCGGTGGGCAACGTGGAGCACAGGAACTGCTTTCACAGGCACTGTGGAGCCCGGGGCCATCCTTGGGGCAGGAGCTCAGGCCACCTCGCGCAGGCACCCCATGTTCTCAGGCCCTGCCCGTGGAAGCGTCCCCAGGTGCTAGGAGGAACTGCCACTGCAAGGAGCAGGGTCCCCTGGTTTCCAGCCCTCCTTGCTGGGGTCACTGCATCCGCCCTGACCGAGGCTGGTTCTGTGCAGGGCAAGCACACTTGTGCAGAACTACACTCCATCCTGACCCTGTCCTCCAATAAGCCCCACCCTGAAACCACATGAGCACCTGGGGCCCCAGCCTCATCGAGGGCTTCAACCTCGAACACAGAGCACCTTGAGCCTGACAGGGTGATGGTGGCTGCCACACCATCTGCCATGACCCCAGGAACCTCCCCTTGACCCACTTCCCTTGACCCAGTCCTGGCTCAGGTCCCCAAACCCAGGGACCTGGGGCACCTGCTATAGAATGAGTGTTCTGTGCCTGGCAGGTCCTGCTGACTCGCAGCTGGTACCTGAGTGGCACGAGTTCTCTCCAGCCACCCAGCATCACCAGCTGTCCTCCCTGCCACCCGCCAATGCAGGTAAACGCTGGGGGGCCCACCTGAGGGACGAAGGCAGGAAGCCACTTACCATATTGACCGTAGGGAAAGTCTGGCTGAGCCGTCGGGGGTTTGCTCATGTCGGGGGCGGCCTGAGATGGAGGTGGTGGGAAGGCCAGAGGTGCTGCCCCCGGGGTAGCCGGTGGAGGAGGAACCCCAGGGGGGGCAAACTGATCTGGCGGTGGAGGCGGAGGCCCGTAGCCAAAACCTACAGACACAGGACAGACAGGACTCGGTATGCAGCTGCGGGGCTGGGCGGGGAGGGGCAGACCTGGGGCCCGGCCTGGCAGGAGCTGCCCAGATGGATTTTCATCTGAAACCCACAGAGTGGACAGGCCTTAAAGAAGCCACATAACAGACTATGGAGCCACACTCCTGGGCTGCTACGCCAAGGACACAGCCCTCGCTGAGGAGCCTACAGGCGGAAATAGTGCGGCTGAGCAGAACCGGAACCCAGAATCGTGGTGCGGCTCATGGCGCATCCACCCTGTGGAGCACTGGAGCGTATTTAAGTAGCAAGTGATTCCACAGCGAAACAGTTCTTTAAAAGGGACAAAGATCTACCACCAAGCAGAGCCCAGACCATAGCTATGGGAGATAAATCGTCTATACATGTGGAGGCCACCCACCAGCTTTCCAAACTGACCGAACTGCTGGAAGCAGCGGCCACCACACCCCCACCTGCCAGACCTCAGCCTCAGGCTGCGCCTGACCTGTCTTGTTAGAAACAAGATCAGAGAAGACAGGAGACCACAAGCCTTTTCCATATAAGGCTGCCAGTCAGT